TAGATATTAACACAAATACATTCATTGGGACGGTCATTTCCAGAAAATTGGCAGAATGATTTGATAAAAATACTTAGAGAGACAGAAAAAGAGATGTTGATGCTGCACTGTCATAAGTGAAGTTGCCACAGTTTTGATGCCCACAACCAAACATTTGTTTCCTTGTGAGCACTTTAGTGGGAATGGACTAGAGAAAACAAATTTAAAAAAAAAAAAAAATCATTTCACTTGTTAAGAACCTTTTTTTTTTCTTTTTTTTTTTTTTAAAGCAGTAAACAGTTTGCAGATATTGTTTTGTATGAATAACAGTCCATGCTGGATAAAAAACAAAATAACTTTCCTGTTTTGTAAATCGAGTTTTCTTTTTTGTTAAAATGTCAAAGTAAATAAGTTTAAATAATTCAGATGTAATTATTCAGTAGTTATTTATTTTACTTCCCTGAATGAAAGCTGCATTTCCTTTAATACAGATTTGCTTTGATGGTTAAGCAGTCATAAATAGAGATTCCATTGCAGCAAATTGGATTTTCTTCAAGTGCTGGTCAATAAATGCCAATTAATTGGATTTGCACCAATGTCCAAACCAAAGCATCCAGAACCCAAGTATTTGATTAATCTGTAAATATTTAGATGGGTCTGTGGTAATGAGATGAATGCTTGGTCATATTTAAATGGCATTTGCCAACAAAAATAAAACTAAAACAGTTTGTATATGGAGGGGAGAAATAACTGAATATATGAATAATGATCATATTTATCAGTTGATGGATTATTAAAATGAAATCGAAGCAATTAACACTGAAAAACTACTGTGAAGTAGAATGAAGAATGAAATATGTTGATTAATAAATCAACAGTGAGGTAAAAAAAAAAAAAAAATAATGATAAAAAATCTTAGTTTATATTTACGAAAAGTTTCTATAGATTTATTCTTAATTTTTTTTCCTTTTCACTATATTTTAATTGACTTTGTTACAATGTTTTTTGTTGCATTTTTTGAGAAATGTTTATTTCTCAATGTAGTTCAATTATTTTTTGCAGTAGATGGAAATAAAGAAAGCAATAATAAAAGAAGGAAAATGTTGTGAGTGAATAAAATAAGGTGGGCTCTTTAGGTTGTTTACAAATGAGTGAAGCGATTGAATTGCAAAGACAAGATGCTGCTATCTCTCTTTCTCTCTCTTACCTATCATTGACTTTATATTGATTTCTTCTTTGGGATTCTTGCATTCTTCATTTGATAACCATATTACTTAGAGGAAATGAACAATGAAAAACGGATAGGAATTTGGGGGAGAAAATAAAAAAAATGGTAATGAAAATATTTTGCAATAAAGCCATAATATATCATGCAAATCTTAGTTTTTGAAGTACTGCTATATATATATATATATATATATATATATATATATATATATTTTCCCCATTACATCTAAATTGTTCATTTTAAATGAGGCTGAGAAACAGAATTAGAAAATCTCAACAAATATGTGTACATATAAATATTATCATGCTGGAAATAAGTGAGACAAAGGACAAGAGAAAGAATGTCTTTGAAAACAATAAGATTAATGCAAGTGAAAAATATGTGATTGGAAAGCCCAAGTTTCTTGTTGGTTGTGAGTTAGAACCAAAATGGTGGAAATTATTGTATTCTTTGTTAATAGAAATTATCAGCATAAGGAATGAATAAGAAAAAAAAAGGCATTGGATGCTGCTGTTGTGTGTGAGTGTGTGTGTGAGAGAGAGAGAGAAAGGAAAGAGACAAATCAACCATTTGTAGTGGCCAAATCCAAATCTAAAGTGGAAGTGATCACATTTGCTGCTGCCTCTTCTTCTTCAGCCCCGACAGTGGAAGAAATTGGACCAAATGTTGAATATCCAGACAATTTATCATAAATTGCAGTTGGATCAGCAATGGGAGCAACTTCAAATGTTTCAAGTCTCCATTTCTTGGAGCCTGCAGAAAATACAAAGATAAAGCAATAAAATCAATTAAAAAAAAAAAAAAGAAATCAGTGTTAAATGAAATTTTTGTAAAGCTTGAGAATCAATATTATTGACAAAGATTAAAACATTTGATTATATAAAAATTTCTTAAACTGTCATAACTTGTTAATGCCAATTCTACCTAACTTTTAAAAAGGACCGAATACCTTCAGATGATTCAAATATCATTTTTTTATCAGTTAAAATGTAAAATAAATACTCAGCTAAGTCATGAAAAAGAGAAAACTTCATTTTCAAATTTTATTCACTTTTATTTAGATTATTTAAGAAAATAATCATTGAAAAACTTTATGGTAAATAGTTGAAAACACACACATACATCCATTATAGTACTAACAAAATCTTGATTATATGAAAAACATTTGTTAATTTTTATTAATGCTCCAACAGCTGAAATAAATGATTATCAAAAAAAGAAAAAAAAAAAAAAATCATCATAATCACAAATGGAAACTACCAATTTACCTTATCATCTTTAAGATCTGGCAAAGAAGTTAACCAGCAGATATAAAGAGATGAGGAAGAGTCTATTTACATGTTGATTGTTGTAAAGTTTGCAATTAACTTCATTTTTGGAGTGAGACAACGCACACACACACACATATATATATATATATATATATATATATATATATACACACCCCTGCACACATGCATGCATGCAAGACTATAGAGTCATTACAGAAAATTTCAGCAATCCTAGACATGATAAAAATTTTCGCCACTTATCAAGGTAAGAAAGGAATTGTCTTTTTTAATTTTTAAGAACATAAATGGACATATTTGTAAAACTGATAAAAATATTTATGTGAATGCAAAAATAAAGATATGCAAAGAAGAAATTATGGGGAAACAAAATGAGCATATTCTGTTTTCAGTGGTGAATCTATATATCCAGTCTATGGAAGTAAACAGAGTTAGGAGTTGAACAAGAAAGAGAGAGATAAATCTAATTGCAGACAACATTCAGTAAAGAAAACCTACAACTCTTAAATAACATGCACAATGTCTACATTCACTTGTGGAGAAACATGCAATGCATATGTAAGTATTGCATAAGAACCTAGCCAAGACAAAAGCATTTTGTTTTACAATATAGGAACGAACAAAAGGAGGGGGGCATATCTCGAGAATTTAAATTACAGTCTCCTGCTGTTGTTGCAAACACGCAGAAGCCAAGCCACGAACAGAAATAATACATTTAACAAAATCCTTCAGAGAACCCTCAACTAAATTAAGTTTTTTTTGCAAACCAGAGTATAAAAATACGAACAAATTTAAGCAGCTATTCAAATCTAAAAAACTATTTACTGAAATTGTGGCAAATCATGTCATTGATAATCGCACACATTTAAAGCTTGATTAAGGAAATTAAGTGCATAAATATGAAAATAATGCAACTTGTTAAATATATGAAAAAAAAAATTAAAGATTTAAAAAATTGTTTATTAGCAATGTGTGTAATAATCATATAAACACATAAATCATTAACAGTAATTTCAATATTCCAGGTTTGAAGAGACTTAGCAACACATTAAAACAAAAAATTATGTGGATTATTTTTGTTTATTAATATGTTTTTACTCATATCTAACTGCAGTTAGGATTGTATTCCTGAAAGAAACAAATTTGTAAACTAGCAAAGTGGGTATTTTTTAATTTTAATTATCAGGTATATGAACATTGTTTGTTTTTTTTTTTTAAATTCAATTATATGTAAGTACATAAGTCTTCAACCTAAAGATGGAAAAGGCATTATTTTATACAATATTTATTTTTCAATATTATCTTCTTCCTTGTCAATGCACTTAATTGTGGTGAATATTAATCATGTAAATTAAACATTATAGAATGATAATTTCAGATCAAAATTCAACCAGTAATTACATTTCAAGCCATGAACTTGTTGGTCTACCCTTGTATTCTTTTTAAAAGAAAAAATATGTAAGTAATTGGAAGAGTTAGGTGATGGTACATAGTTCAGAATAATGAAAATTAATTAATTAAAAGCTATTAATATGGGAAATGATCTTTGTAAAGAGAGTTTGAATTCTGATTGAGTTATGAATAAGGTATGAATTCTTTAACCTTATTAGACAAAATACATCATCATTGGCAGGACTGAAGAGTTAGAACTTGGGAAAAAAAAATCACTCTCCCACAACTACTTTATTTACCTAGGCAGTAGCACCAAAAAAGCTCTTATTCAGGCAACCAAGGCATGTTAGTGTTATTGTCTTGTATAAAAGATCACTGATAATGAAGAAAAAAATAACTTAACAAAAGGTATCTTTAGTGTAAATCAACAGCTGAAAATGTTTACCACAAGCAAAATTTTGAAGTAAATTTATGCCAAGAAAAAAATATGAGGGGATGAGAGGAAGGCAGGAATTAATTAATTTTCATTATTCTGAACTATATACCATAATTCCCCATGAATAATACACATTTGTTTTCTAAAAAATAATAAGCAAAATCAGGGGTGCATATTATGCATAGCAACAAACAATCTTTAAAAAATTGCCATAAATAAAATAAGAATTATCATAAAACTAAACTAGAATAATATTATTCTATGTTTAAAACCATTTTTTAAAAAATAAGAGTAGGAAACGCTGACCGTAATGAAATTAGCGAGGTACAACTTATAGGGTTTGATCACCAAACAAGGGGTGTATATTATGTGCGAGTAGAAGCATTTTCCCACTCTTTCAGCAGAATTTTAGGTGTGCATATTATGTATGAAGGTGTATTATACATGGATAATTACAGTAAGTAGTAATAGGCAATAGATGACCCCCTTAAATTATTTCAGTAATAAATTATGAGGAGGAAGTAGAATAACATTCATATTTTGGAGAATTTCACAACACAAATGCAGAAAATTGAGAAAAATTCAGAGCTTCAATTTGTTTGTATTTAAATCTTTTGGTATTTTATTTTATTTTTAAATTTTCTACACCAGTTTAAGCCTCAAATATTGTTCCAATCTATGTAATAACATTGTAAAGAAAATTCAAGCCTGCACACAGAAAAAAATACTGTTCAGATAAAACTGATGAGATACGGGATGAAAGAATTGACAGGTAAAAATTAAAATCAACACAGCAGAAGAGAGAGAAAAGAGAGAGAGAGAAAGAAAAGAGAGAGAGAGAAAGAAAAGAGAGAGAGAGAAAGAAAAGAGAGAGAGAGAAAGAAAAGAGAGAGAGAGAGAGAGAAAGAGAAGAGAGAGAGAGAGAGAGAGAGAGAGAGAGAGAGAGAGAGAAGAGAGAGAGAAAAGAGAGAAAAGAGAGAGAGAAAAGAGAGAGAGAGAGAAAAGAGAGAGAGAGAGAAAAGAGAGAGAGAGAAAAAAGAGAGAGAGAGAAGAGAGAGAGAGAAAGAGAGAGAGAAAAGAGAGAGAGAAAAGAGAGAGAGAGAAAAGAGAGAGAGAGAAAAGAGAGAGAGAGAAAAGAGAGAGAGAGAAAAGAGAGAGAGAGAAAAGAGAGAGAGAAAAAAAAAGAAAAGAAAGAGAGACAGAGAGAAAAAAAGGTATAGATATTTATAGCAAGTGTCAATTCACTTTCCAAACTGATGGGCTCTGCAGGTGAGACATTATCTTTAGTTACAATGAACTAATGTCATCAGTGGGAAGCAGCAAAAGATGAACTGATTGAATCAGCAATAGATCAATAAATGATTTGACAACCTAAACACATCTGTTGTGTGCAATAAAGAATCACATGATATTGCAGATATCAGAATGGATTAAGAAGCTGACCAAGGGACAATCAGCAAGATGTTTAAGCCAAGAGTCAGAATAGCCAAAGCAGAATGAACACATGTATGCACAGTAGCACATTTACAACATTAAAACAGTGGAAAAGCCAAAACTACCAAACTGCTGAGCAAAAGTCAATAGAAAAACTTTCAGTTAAACTTAGGAACAAAAAAAAAAAACCCAATACATTTTATTACTTTTAACATTAATGCATTCAAATATTAATAATGTTTATACAAGGTGAATGCTGGCGAGTTCTTGCCTGACCCACTTCCCAAAATCTGACCAAATAACTAAACATCAGAATGGAGGGGGGGGGGGTTCTTGGTTGGGCTAAAAACTTTTCAGCACTACCTTGTATTTTACCTTGTAATTTCTAAATTTGTCAAATAAAAGAAAATTTTACAATGAATGTTAAATTAAAGTAATGGTCATGCCAGCAGTTGGTATTTATAAAAGAAAAAAAAAATCCCGTCCATTAAGCCATTAAAAACAATTTCAATAGGAAGCATGATTGTATATAATCCAGAAAATAAGAGACGTTACTAACATCTGTTATTCACTACCTCCAGCTGTCAAGTAGCTTTTCTCGACGATACACTGTTTTCCGATGAAAATCTCCTGTAGAAATATGGAAATCTGAGATCTACAGTGAAAGTAAGCATTTACTGATTGCACAGTAGCTGCTGAGAGTAAGGAACCTAAAAGCTAGAAAGTCAATATTTTTCCATTTTCACAACAATATTACCAAGTCAGTATAAGAAGCACAAAAGTGGAATATTAATGTTTTAGGAATCAAAAGTAAATGAATGTTCACAAATATTTGGTTGCAAGAGGCTAATAGAAAAAAGACATTTTTCATAGAGTAATTTGAACAACTGTTTCACAAATTGTATTCAATACAATTCAGATGTCTGTCTCTCAAATTTATTTGTAGATAAAGAATTTAGAATAGCTAATTGCTTTCTGAGAGTGAAAAAAAAATTCATTATTCTATATATTTTCCACTTTGTTGTTTTTAAAACAGTCTACATGGATATTTCTGTTGGCCTTCTTTGGGTGGATGTTATATTTGATCTTCAGACCTTATTTTTGCTTTTCTTTTCACAACTAAAACACCAAAGGCCAGCAGAATGACAGCAAGTCTTAATATTGAGGTCTTATATTAATCAGGTTACCAAGAGAGAGAAAGATTGGAAGAGTTTTGTTTAGTTTCTTTAAAGAATCTGCTTTTGTGAAATCGGTTAAAATTTATTGTCCTCAAATTGTGTTCACTCTTTACACTTTCATTTTGTTTTCTTTGCAGACTTTCTATCATGGCTTCTTGTTCATTTTTTAACCTTATTTAAAAGTGGATATCACTTTTTGCAATGTTATTGTTACTAATAGGAAAATTAAAAAAATACTCAGTACAAGTTGATCACTGGACAATTTAAGCAAGGTGGTCATAATAGAAAATGAATTGAAAAAGGAAGAGATTAAAAAAAATTGAAGAATAAATCATTATGTAAGAAACAAAACATGGAAAGATGGGAAAATAATTGGAAGTTTATTTTGTTAATAAAAACATTAGAAATTAACTGGAGATTTTTTCATTATATTCTTTGGAGTAACTCTCAAACTTAATCTTTATATAAAAAAGAAAAAAAAAATTAATGCTTAGTTATTTTACCAAGATGAAGGATGATGTGATTTGTTTTTTTTTTGGTTTGATGAAATGAAAAACCTCTTCCAACCACTTTGCTTTCTTCTTATATATACACAACTAGTTACATCTATAAAAAAAAAAATTATCCTAAGTTAGGACCTAATTTGAGAGTTGGACAACTGAATAAAATTCTAAATAAACTAAACTAAATTTTCTAAACAAGATAAAATTATTTTTCAAAAGGCTGAATTAACAACTTCTGTTTGCTATTATTTCAAATCAAGTCAAATAAAATCCTGCCAGAAGTGAAGAATATAATTTTGTAAATAATACAGATAAAATAAACTTAGATTTGAATAGAAAAGAAACATTTTTATAAAGAGATTTTTCTAAAACTCAATATGGAACACGATGCAAGGAAGATTAGGATAGTGACCATTATGAATAGCTGGTTTATTATTAGCATAAAATAAAAGGAGAAAAAAAAAGGAAAAGAAAAAAAAAAAGCAGAGCACTATTTTTATTAAAATTACTGGTTATTCAGTTAATAAATTAAAAAAAAAAAAAAAAAAAAAAATGGGAGGTGAAGCTCAGAAATATACCTGATTGGAAAAGTCAAGTTGGCATCAGTATGTCTAGTAGAATTTCCTGAAATTTAGATAGCATAACTTTCATGTGAAACACTTGTGTATAAAAAGCAAATATGGGAAGAAAATATGCATGGAAAGATCAGTAAGTATGCAGCAGGGTAAAAATAACAATTAAGTGAATATTGTCATATTGCTTTACAAGCTGAAATCTATCTTGGGATGGGAGTGTAGTAGGGGGAATATCAAGTCAAAATTATATTGAATTAATAATGTTGCTTTTTTTTTTTTCCATTAAAGAAAAAATACAAGTAATATAAAAATATATATTCATGCCAAATAATCATTTATTCAAGGAGCTGATGAAAAGTTCTCAGATTGGCCCACTTTTCAAAATCTAATCATATGAACAAACAATAGTATATTTTGGAAGGCCTTTTTGGTTGGGCTAAGATCATTTCAGCATCCCATTGTAATTTTTTTTATCCCTAACACGTAGAATACATATATATATATATATATATATATATATATATATATATATATGTATCTATGTATGTATAATTTTCTGGTTAAAATATTTAACATTTTTTTCTACTTAAATCATAATAAAACAATTCATGTTATAAAAGATCAAAACTCCTTACCTGTTATTTCCATCCTAACAATAAGCATTGGATATAAAAAAAAAACTCTAGATAATAACCAACATTTGGCTTAATGCAGATTAATGTAAGAAATCCTAATTGTCTGGAATTTTAAAATAACTTAGAAGACTCAGCAAATGTCATAGACTCACTTTCTTCGGAAAAATCAGTACTGCATTCTCGAGCTCCTTTACATTTTCGTAACTTTTCCAATTTTGTGTGCAACTGTTGTAAAACACCATAATTCACTTCATGGATGCTGTTTTTAAGCTGCAAGTTGAACAAATCTTAATTTTATTTTATACATAATATTGTACAAAACATATAGAGTTGGTTGAGCTTTTGATTTTTCAGGATAGAGTAAAGTCAAAAAGGTTTATCTCAAAAAGATGAAATGTAGTTATATAAACTGACAATGAAATCTTTATTTCTCTTGCATTAGGTTGCTATTTTAACAACATTCTATCTATACAAATGGAAAAATATAAAATATTAAATGGGGATTTATAAAAATATTAAACATTTTTGTAAGTGTTTGATTTTCTAATAAATGATAATATTTTGGGAGATAAATATTAGCATATTTTGTTAACTTTTCAACATTATATCTCTTGACATGGGCCAAGCAATTTTCAAACATTTTATTGAAATTATATTAAGCTGCTATGTGAAAAGTTCATGAAATTGAACAGGGTTCTTCCTTCTTAAATCATTCATATACACAGCAGATCCCATAACTATCTGGCTAAAATTGATATTAAAAATAATTGTACAAAATTTGATCACGATAATGTGTAGTATGATTTAAAAAATTTTTTTTTTGTAAAGTAAGCTATTTTGCTAAATCTGTATTGGTAAAAATGAATACCTGGTGTGGATCTTCCAGCAAGTTGTAGTAGCTAATGAAACCAGTGATAAATTCACAATACAAGAAATTATGTGTCTCATTGATGGTTCGGATACACCAATATGTATTGTTGTTAGCATTAGAACAGAAACAAAAAGGGCCATCTGAAAGTAGAGGAAACAATCTATCAGATCCATTGTAATACATTCCTTAAAAAGCAAATAGATGTATAAGATACTAATTACTCATAGACATGTTACTGTTGATGGAGTCCTAGCCATCAGACATTATCACAAAAAAAAAAAAAAAAAAAAAAAAAAAAAAAAAAAAAAAAAAGCAAGAATTAAATTTACAGTTGTGTAAAAACATTCAAACTGAAATTGAAAATGTGTGTAATCTAATTTTTATAAACTTAGATATGAAGAACTTCAATTAAGTTCCTGAAATTTTATGCAGTATATTTGCAGCAGTGAGAGAGAGTAAGCCAATCATTTATTTGCATAAAAGAAGAGTTGTTTTATTGACCTGAAAAATAGCATTATAATGATGATTGTCAGCATTTTACCATCAGTTTTCTGACAAGAAAAAGAATCAAGATTTTTAAATGCAGTTTAAAAAAAACAAAACATTAAAAACAACAGCATTAGAAAAGGAATCTAATAAAAGCATAGACAGAAAAAACTAGAAAATACTTTTTCTGCCTATGGAGATTCAATTTTTGTATTACTGTTTAAAATATTCTTTTGGAGATTATGAAAATTTTATTCCACCACACTGAACTAAGCACAGAGGTATACAATTCAAAACTTGTTGGCATCTCAGGATTTACACCTTAAGAACATTTCACTATCAAATGATTTTTATAGAAAGATATACAGTTACAAATATCTAAAGACTGAAGCAAATCTAGTATGTGTGTAGGAATTTGCTTATAAAGTAAAAAAAAAAAATTAAAAAAAAGAAAAAAGAGATGTATATATAATAAAATTTTAGACTTTTTTTTAAAAATAAGGAAAAAAGTTTTGTTAGCAAAACTTAGTTTTGTTATAACTTATTATTTACTCTAGAGTAAATAATAAGTTATAAGCTTTATTATAAAAGAAAATATTAATTCTTTCTACAAGCCTTTAAAAGACCATTTTTGAAGAGTAATAGACATCTGAGTCCATTGGGACTACAAGACATTTTTAAAATTCCTTTAGGTAATGAGAATATTACTTCATTCAAGTACTGTGGGGTGGGGGTGGGGTCACCTCTTTTTAAATAACTGTTTGATAGACACATAAAAAGGTTATTGTCATGATTTGGCCATAATATGCACATATTTCAACATTACAGTTAAGTCTTTGCTTTATAGTAATTTCGAAAGAGAAAAATATGACAAGATAAAGTACATCTTGAATGAATTCAAACATAATTTCTTGAAGAAAAGATAATTTCTTGTAAAAAAGTTTATATTATTGTACAGATATTGAAAAATACAGGGCTATTTAAGTTGATGGTAGTGATTGTAGTTTACTCAATTGTATCCAATAAGTTTTTGAGTGTCAGTAGATCATTTGATAAAGTATCTAAAAATACATCTTCTGCATGAAGATGCTTCCATAGTAATGTACATGTCTCCACCATATAATATCCATTAGTGGATATTTGAATCTGCTTAAAACAAATTAATACAAGTTGAAATTTAAACAGTGTTTATACAACTGAAAATATCCTAATTAAAGTTTTGATATAAATAATGTGGTTAATGATCAATGGGCAGAGATGAGGGAAATGATTTCACTGGTTAATTTTTTTTTTAATGGATGTTTGTTTTATACAAGCTTTAGAAAATATAATTGATAAGTGAGTGAAACAAGTGATTTCTAGAATTATCAGTGTGATAAACTCTGATAATGATGAAAGAATGGATGCTAATTCATATTTTTAGATTAAAATGGAAATTTGGAGATTGTATTACAGAAAAAATGAGCATATTAGAACTGATAAATATATAATGTAAAATTTGATAAAAAATGTAGTTAAAATGAGCAATTTTATTAATGAAACTACATTTTGTTTTTAATTTTTTTGCACATTAATTTTATGATCAAGTGGCCAAAATAGTTTTGATAAAAATCTATTAATATCAAATGTGAACATATTATAGAAACTCACAAGAGAAAGACTTTTAGACATTTTTTTATAAAAAGGCCTCAGTGCATTCAATATCAAACATTTAAAATGTTTGACTCCAATTGTTAATACAATATATTCAAAGTCCCAACCAAGAATCACCAAATTCACAAGATACACAAATAAGAATAAACTAAATTTTATGATTTTTAAACCCATAATCCAAAATAGAGTAAATAGAGTTTACAGAATTCAGAAAAAAACAATTTAACCATCAGATAGAACCAATTGGATAAAGTACATTTTTTCTTTTAAGTATCAGAAAAAAAAAATCTTTAGAAGATTTGTCTTGTTTGTTGTAAAATCTTAAGAATTACTATATTGCCGAATTTTTGAATGGTGCTTTGCTTCTTTTCTACTTGGTGGCTCGACAACTAGAGAGAAAATGTGTTCAAATAGAATTTATTTAAAAGAGAAAAAATGTAAATAATTTCCATTAACTGAGCAAAATGTAAGATTAATATGGAAATATTTTCTATAAGATTTTCTTTACTCAAATGTAAATTCCAAAAAGTTGAAAAATATTGATCAAGTTTCAGAAACTATTTTTCATTCTCATAAGAAAATCAGTTAAACTTTAAAAGATTAATTCATTAAGAATCAATTTCTAACACTTGTAAAATATAGTAATGACTACTTATATGAGGGGGTGCTAAAATGTGGCTTAATGAATTTCGAAAAATCTAACCAAATGACCAAACATCAGATTGCATTTTTGGAAGGGTTTCTTGATCAAGCTGAGAACTTTTCAGTACTCCCTTGTATAAAAATTTTATTTATGGTCAATCATATTTACAAATAATACAACTTTTATTACAGCAGAATAATAAAAGTAATCAGAAATGACTTCTAACACATTTTCTGTTACTAATATTCACATTCATACTTTATAAATAATGAAATTAACTGAATTTAATTGAAAATATTCAGCTAAATTCATATAAAGTCAAAAGTTTAGACTTAGCAAATAATGAAACCATCCTCTTTTGTTCCTAACTTAGAAAATATGAAGTTGAGATATTTTATTGTTAAAGAGTAAATGTTTTCAGATGAGGCAAGAAAGGGTAATTGATAATTGTTTTGAACTTTTGTAAGTACAAACTGAAAATGCAGACAAATGCACATCAAATATGTAGCAGAATAAAAAATCGAATTGTTTTAGACAAATATGCATTAATCTAAAGAAAGGTGCACTATAATATAAACTTTATTGTAACAAGGAGTAAAGTACATGAAAAGAGATAAAGATCATTCAGAATATCATCAAATATTAAATAAAGTTTCTGTGATTGGCTGTGTTGATTATCCAAGAGAAATTGGAGATTGATTTTTTACAAGGTGATGTAATTTCTAAAATGTTAAAAAATCCCACCTTTTGCACAGCCATAATTTATCAGTTAAAACATTGCTTTAATGTATTTTTAAGTAAAATCTTATATATCAGTAATAGAAACTTTACTCAGTCATACACACATATACAAGATAGAGGTGAAGGAATGTGATGTCTTCATGAGACAAAATGATTTTGCGATGTTTATGAGTATTTTCAATAGACTTACAACTTTTAAATATCAAGACAAATTTAGAGTTAATATTACTCTTTTCGTAAATGCAAACATCATGCAGTATTAATAGCAATACACTTTATATTGAAAGCAATCTTTGCTTTTTCTTTTCTTTTTAAAATCAATTTCATGACTAAATAGCAAAAATAAAAAGAACCTTCAAAACAGCATCTACAGTAAGTGAATATTTAGCTGGTAATAAAATGAATGCAGCAATTTGTAATGAACTTGACAAAATTTAAGATAGCCTTCTTAATTAAGATATTACTTATACAAGGGACTGCTGAGAAGTTCTTCGTATGAGCCATCTCCCCAAATCTGACCAAACAGATTACATTGAAGACATTTCGGTAGTCCCTTGCATTCAAAATCAGTCACAAAAATATATGACTGCTGGCCATTTGTATTTGTTAAATCTTTGTTTTCTTATGCTGTAACTACAGAAGGTATATAGTTTTTTTTTTTTACTTATTTGAGTATGCATTGAAGTCATTTTCCAAACAAATTATCAGTCACAAATTCCTGCTCTCCAATGGGTATTAAAATGAATTACGGCAGTGTAGATATCTGATCCAAATTTTACAAAAGGAAAAAAAAAAAGAAAGAAGAAAGCTGTTTGATAATAGCAACAAAGCTAACATAGGTTTTTATAATAATAAATTTAGTTAAAGCCCAAACCTTTTCAAATTAAACATTATATATGACTGTTCAGTTTATCTATTGTCTTGAGGCTGCTATTAATTTGGGGCTGATTGTAAAACATGATAATTGAAGGAAGCATTCAATTCTATTTAAAACAACAATTCCATTCTATTTATGAATTAATAGTTAAAACTACTTGGTTATTAAAACAGAAAATATTTTCATTTACATGAAACAAAATAATTGCAACATAAAGTAAACACCAACAGAAGATGCAACGAAAAATAAATTACAAGAGAAAAAGTTATATTAAAAAAAATATCAATTTCAATTATTCACATAAGCTTTATATAGAGATTGGGTTGAGAATAATTTAGAAGATAAATTTAATGATATATTTAATCAGAATTGTTTAAAAATGATTTAAATTCAAAATGTAATGACCCATGATATTTTTGAATTTTGAGATTTTAAAGAATGCTACGGCAAAATTGATATTAGCAAGATTAACACATTTGCTACCAAATGACTTCTCCTGCAAATCTGAAAGTGTCTTTTTCTGAAGAGAGCATTAAAGAGCTCTAGTTTAGTAGAATAGAACGTAGAATTTCTTTTTCTCAATGTTAGATTGGTATTAAGCTAGTAGGTTAGCTTTTACTTCAAGTGCACATATATGCACAGATTCATTTTCACATTAACAGAATATAGATAAACCTTCCAGCATATCAAGTGGCAAATCTTCAGTTTCATTAGAAGTGAGAAAGTAGAAAAAATTAATATCAAAACAAAAACAATATCATTTTTGTCGAGAAAAATGTTGGTATTATCTAGTTAAACAGAATTAACTATGCAAAACAACTTTGGATTCATTATTATATAATAATATTTCTTTTCTAGATGACTTTTTATGGCAATCTATAGAAATAATTAAAAGATATCAGAGAATCTAATGGTAGCTAATATGTTAAAGTGAACAGCTAAGTAAAATGCTCATTTGAAACGCGATTTGTTACAGTGTACTGAAGATGTAAAAAATGAATAAAAGTCATTAAATACAATCGCTTACAAGTCCAATATGGAGGTGTTCTCCAGTGTTCGTTATCCATGATAGTACATTCCAGACCATCCTTTTTACAAGTTAGCCCATGAAGCAGAGAGAGATATTCAATGGAGCGTGGCCGTTGTCGATTCTTAACCTTTGTTGTAGCTAGGAAGAAGATAAAAAGAATTTCGAAAATTCAAGCCTCAGTTAATCATGCTGGATCAATAGTAAGAGATCTTTAGCAGTGGAGATGATGGCTTTTTTATTTTATTTATTTCTTTCAAATATTGGTTAAATTTGGTTTAAAGATAAACTGGTAGCTTTCCATGAGGTGTTTCTCAATAAGGATTGAAATGGAGGAAAATGGAAAGGGTGTGTGGAAACCCTAAATTTTGCAATAGATTTCCAATTTCCCCAAGATTTCTTGTTATTCTACTTAAATTAACTTTTGTTACGCGCTGGCTCAATTTATAAATTCCCAGTTACTAAGCAAGAAATAACTTTTGATGAAAACATTGAATATTAGTAAGATTATTTAAGTTTTACTTCAGATTATGAACGCATTTACTGAGTGTGAGAATGATTTGCCAAGAACTACTAATGTAAGTATTATTTAAAAATGTTTAAATTTATGAAGCACACAGTTCAAGTTCAACTGAATGAGCCACCCGTGTGAGTAAATGGTGCCACATGTAGAATGAATTCAGTGATCGAGTCTCTCTAGAAATTTCTCACAGGCACTTGTAGGTGGAATTCATTGATTTCTTTCATGTCAAACTGATTTAAATTTAGGCATTTTAAGTTATATAAGAGTATGCCGTTTAACTTTTCCAATGCGCAAAATGATGGGTCAGAATAGATTTAAGGAATAAGAAAAATGTTAATAAACCCAGAATATATTACAGAAGAGCTGTTAAAATAAAATGAAATAAAAGCACAACATTTCATTCAGTTTAAGCAGATAAGCATTCAAACCAATAAAAATAGAAGAGGATGAAAATGTAACAAAGACGCATGACAAGACAAGTTACATTTTATTGCATTTAAATTCAATGATAAATGAAAAATAAAATCAATTGGAACATTACTCCCAACACATATCTAACGTCTGAAGTTATTTAATGTTTGAAACAAGCATTTTATATATTATTGTATAAGTGAATTGCTAAAGTTATAACAGAATCCTCAACATTATCAACAGGCTTATTTGAATATGCATTCATCACAATGATTTTATTTGATCAAAATTATTCAGACTTGATTATAAATCAGCCACATCAATAAATTCATATCCTCAGATTTAATTAACAGGAAAAAAAAATAACTAAAATTTAACTAATTCATAATTTTTTGTAAATTCTTTTTAGTTTAGAGTCTTTTTGTTCACAGCTTTACTGATCATATTCCAATGCCAGTATTTTATAAAATGACTCAATTAAAATCTACCAAGATAGCAGTAAAAATGTTCAAGCATCATGCAAAGATACATGCATCTGGACTGAAAGAGGAAAAAAAAAAAAAAGAAGAAGCAAAGAAAGACAAGAGAGAAAAATACTTACCGGTTACTAATAATAATTAATCAACTTAACAGTGAACTGAGAAAGTTTCCAAAATTCTAGTAAATATCTTTAAATAGTAGCTACTTGCAATGAGGAAGTAAAAAATGAACAGAGAAAGAGAGAAACTGAAATTGAATTTCTGTTTAGGAACATTAACTCATAACTGTGTCAGGAATTTAACAGTGTTGTCTCATTTCTATAAAGATTCATCAACGAGGGTGTGAAAAGCTATAATTAAATGGTTTATGATGAAAAGAGATTAAAAAAAAGGGTGCAGTATTATGCAATGCAGAAAGCAAAATGTTAAAGACTGAGAAATGATGCTGGGAGCTGGTCATCTTTTTTTTTTTTTAATAGCATACACCTGCAATTTATATTGAAATGAAAAAAAGGATAGCATAATATTCTTTGTGTGTTATTCTATTTAAATGATAAAATTGTGTTGGTGGTCAAAGCTATTAGCTTAACTCTCAAAGTTTATGAATGAATTTATTTACAAAGTTTGTATATTTCTTTTGATCAAAACTTGAATTCAGAGTTTTCTTTCTGCTAGACTGGTTGCCAACCAAGGCTATGGCCCCTAGTCTGTCTTGTTACTTACTTGCAGTTGGGAGGAAGAGATAGATTCATACCTTTCACAAGATATGAATCTATACTAGAATACAATGAACTTGGCTCTCAGAATCCTCAATTCAAGCCACTATCCATTACTTCACTGTACCTCCACAAGACTATATCAAAAGTGAAGCATCAAATATGATTTTTTAAAAGTTATGACTTATATGCGCTAAAGAGCAATCATTTGAATTTTGTATCATTAGCTAGCATCTTCAAAAAGTGTAGAAAAGGAACTATTCATAAATAGAGCTGAATGCAGAATAATTAGTATAGAATCAATATTCTTGCAGCAATTTAGACATTGATGACAAAATGCTTAAACTCAGTTACTAAAAGAAGTGTATTTAACATAAAAAAATTTCAAATGTGTACTCTTAGGTGTACAAGGGGGGGGTCATCAATTGAGGTGTATTGGGGAGTGGGCAGAATTTTTCAATATGCAATAAATGGGGGATCTTAATAAAGGTCTTAATAAGCTGGAGGTGGGGGCACAAAAATTAAAAAAAGAAACGAAAAATGGTGAACTTTTAAAACATTAATGAAAACAGGCAAATAGTATCTAGATAATCAATCTCACAAATTTATAGATTTTTCATATTTATTTCCTTCAAATGTTGTAGATGATATCGTTGCACAAGATGTTTGTTATTGGTAAAATTAGAACCCCTTTCAAGTAGGGAAGCTTGCAAGATACAATGAATTAAATACAAACAAGAGAAAAACAAATGCATGTAATTATGTTTTGATGATTTGTAATAGATGCATTCAGAAAATAAAAGGAATTGGATTCAAAATAGTTTCACTCAATTATCTCACAAGTGAGAAGCCAGATTTTATTGGGCAAAATGTCAAGTTATACTATTAATTGTTCTTATATGCACATTGCTAAGTTTCAGATGATTAGCATTTTCATGCTACAAAATTGTTAATAGAATACAGATATTTCATTCAACACATTTGTTCACCTTTATTTTCCTACTTCTAAGACTTATTTATCAGAAAGATTAAAGATATAGTCAATTGGGAAAATGTTATAAGCCTCAAAACTTTGTAAGGAAACATTTATATGGAATCAAAAATACTGAACCAAACCTGAAAGTTCAATTGAATTTTCTTAATCACATAATTGCCAAGAGTAACATAATTTTCTTAGTATAATGACTATGTATCTGATTTTTTTTTTTTTTTTTAATAAAACTTGTTACAATTGCTGAAGAGTTGTTTATGCAAGACTCATCTAATTTGGATAAGATTCCTTCTTTCTGTTTGAAAATAGCATTGACAAATTGCTTCACATTCATTCAGTACACAGTTTTTTTTTTTTTAATGTGAAATTTATTAATTTTCAAATCAAATTTGTAAAAGTAAGGTTAGTTTGCCTATGATATTCTTGAAAGACCAGTTACAATAAATAGTTTATTAGCCTTAATCCATCACTATGATTATACTTATGAATTATTCCTGATCCCTGACATGATTTTGTAAAAGTCTACAGAACATCATGTCTGAGGTAGTTTAAACATTTTTTTTATTTTGGCCATAAGACATTGTCTCAAATAAATTAATATCTCAAGAATCTTACAAGTGACTGTAAATATTTCAATGAGTCTCTTTCAAGATAGTTTAATTTCTATGTACATATTTTCATATTAACATTCTCTTATAGTTTTAAGTGTAAGTTGCATTTCAAATTTCCATAGATCCAGGCAAAAATTACTTTTCAAGTCATTTATTTATAAGTCAAATATGGCATTTTAGGTAGCTTTTGGATAAAAATATAACCATTATAAGTAGATCTAGCAACAATGCTAAATAAAAAGGCATATTTTAGTATAAATTAAAATTCCTAAATGTCAATAATAAAAATAGTCAGAGTTTTAAAAGTTATAGGATGTTGTGTTTTATTAAAATAGGCATAACCTTTACAAAATTTTATTAGGAGACTGCAATATATATATATATATATATATATATATACACACACACACACACACACATACATACACTATATATAAATATTAATGCTATTCTAGTTTTTGCAATGACAATAATATCAGTAATTTGTATTGTGATTTTACAAGATTCTAACTATTACCAAATTTAAATTATTTGAAAAACAATAAAATATCTCAAAAAGTATTGTTTATTATAACAAATTTCTCTCTTATTTGAATTAAATGAAGAAAATTTTAAAAGGTTGTGGCTGAGTTAGAGAGCTGGAAGAGAGTTTCTTGGAAAAGTCAAGACAATAGAGTCAGCTTATATAATCAAGTGGAAACAATTTTATAAAGATTTTTATGATGTATTGGTGAACAAAAATTCATTCTGTGGAAAAAATTGAAGTATATGGGATTGTTTTTGATGATAGCAAAGCAATGGGGGGATGGAGAATAAACCATAAGAAGAAAAGTATAATTAGGCAGAATAACTTACATGTCCAATAGGGGGGAGTTTTCCAATGATAGTTATCATGTGTGAAGCACTTCATGTTGGGCATGCGACATTCATGCTTAGAGTCTTTACGGAACTTGTGTTTCATTTTACGTTTTCGCCCTTTTTTCCAATATCTGTTCCGTTTCCACAGGGGAATATTATGATGTGGGCTACCGGTGAGTAGTGTGTTATACTTTGAAGCAGTCATCTTTCTAAAACATTTAGAAATTAGTTTTAACATTTCAGTCAGAAAATAGAATTGAAAAATTAACTTCTTGAGAATATTGCAATATTGAAATTATCTAAGGCATCTAACTATCCTTCCCTAGACTTGTAACTGTATGATCACCAATAAATTTACTCATAAAAAAAGAAAAAAGTAAACATATAATTAGCAAACCAAAATTAAGTAAATCAATATTTTAAGATCATCTACAACTGCAGTATAGAAATTAAAACATTAAAAAAAGAAATTATTTGCTATATTATTCTAAAAGTAGTGACTTAAAATTGGAAATATTAACAAATCTATCAGTATAGATAGTATAATTTGGTTTAGAGCTTACTCTAATATTTACACATGACTTTATCTGCCATGAATTAACTTTTTTGTACAACAGTTTTTATAATTTAATAATGCTCATTTTTTTTTGTAAGTAAAGAATTATTTATACAGGTTGTGGCAGAAATACTCTCACATAATGGTAAGACATTAGTGGCAATAGTGTCTTCATATAGCTAATATCTTATTATGTGGGAGGTATTTCTGCCATACCCTGTATTTGTAGTAAATCTATTATTAATACTTATGTCTTTTGTACAAATATTTCAACATGAAATAAGATTAATACTAGGCCAAAATAATAGTTTCTTGGATTATAAATTGTTAAAAATATTTTAGCAAAAAGTAATTTCATTTGGGCAAGTTTCTTTCTCACTCCATTCTTTGAAAAAAAAAAAAAAAAAAAAAAAAAAAAAAAAAGAGACATTTAAAAATTATAAACAGATAAATTGTTATAATTAAGAAGAAAAAAAAAAAGCATAATTTTAAAATTGTTTCTAATCTTGAATAAAGATTTAAAAAAGAATATTCTGCAACATAATTGATTAACAATAAAATCATTTGCATTGATGTAAAAGGATTAAAACAAAAAGAATATTAAGCTGAAATAAGAAACTTACCTGCTAGGTAACCTCGTTTGTGTTTTACTACAATCACAATTAGAAGATCTGCTTAGATATTTATCCAAGGAAATGGCTCCTGTATAAAAGTCCTTCCCCAAAGGATCTGAGGAGACTGTCTCTGCTGGCTTCTGTTTTTTAAGATGTTTACGAATATCCTAAAATAATTTTAAATAGAAACAAGAAAGAAAGAAACAAAAATTAATAAGATACAGAATCTTTACATCTTGAAAGAAGCTGAAAAAAAATTCTAAACTTCTAATAGCAATAGATACACTTGAAAATTCCTTTTTATAGGCATGCAATGAGGAATTTAACAAAGTTAACTGGTGATACAAAAAAAAAAAAAAATTAAGTATTTATTATTTAGGTTTTGGGGATATTTCTGGCATGAAGGTGATTTGGTTTGTGCCATAAACTTTATATATTTAAAATAAACTATGTTACTCTTAAATTAATTGTGAATGGGCAAGTTCTGGTTTGGGGAAATAATATCATTGGAGGCTTTACAAAAAAAAAAAAAAAAGGATAGAATGATAATAGAGAGTATAATATATAAATCACTTTCCCCAGGTTGAATACAGATAACTTTACAGTAATCAGTTCTAACAGGGAAATTCTAAATATTTCTTAGCTTAAAAGTACATTAAAAAAAAAACAGCAATAATGTAAATTAATAAATATTTTAGTTAATTTCATTGGAAGCAATTGACATTTTTATGAGGCATTTTCAGGTTACATATTGTCAAAACTAAAATAAAAGTATGTTTAAAATAAGTGCACCTATATTATCAGGTAATCAAATTCATACTGTTCATAAATACCATATTGAGAAAATTGTTTGAAAATAATTGTTCAAAAACAATTATTCGAATTGTAAATTGTTTGAATGAAAATTAATTGAAAGGACAATTATACTAAATGATAATTATTTGAAATATATACGTTTGATATACGTATGTGGTCTTGTTTGGGGAGTGTCAATGTTGATTTACCAAGAACTAATAACGCTCTTGAAGGAGGTAATAGGGCTTTTTTGCAAGTGTCATCACATAAAAATAGAAATTCTTAGAAACGCCAAGAAATACCATGATGTGAAAACTTAAATAGTTAGTGGCATCTTTTAATAAGTACTCTTCAGTAGTTGACTATTTGCATGCAGTATCACATGACTTAAGGTTATAAGGATGAGGATTTTTTCTTATGAAATTGTTTTATTAACGATATTTGTATTTTGGATAATTATCATTTGTGCATTTCCTCTTTTAATTTTTACATTTTTATTGCAATAAAGAAACTTGCATTTCAAATAATTATCATTTAGTATAATTGTCCTTTCAATTAATTTTCATCCAATTTACAATTCAAATGTTTTTTGAACAATTATTTTCAATGTTCACATAATCATAAATACCATGATTGAAAACTGCCAAAATGTCACAGTAAATCTTAACATCTTTAAAATCAACTGAAATATTAATTAGTAGAAGTGATGACATTCAACAAATTTTGAGTTCTATGAATTAATAAATCAAATTCTTAAAATTAGAAAAGATCAAAAAAACATTTTCTTAACTAATATTAACTGAAGAGTTTTTCTTTTATCTCAAAGCATTCAAGACAATTTATACTTTTGTAGCAAGCACAAAAATAAAAGAATATTTTTTCATTTTAAAATTATAAAGTATATATCTTTTAATAAGAGAACCTGTATTTTTAGAAAACTAATTGAGTTGACATTTTCATCACTACATTAATTGGTTTGCATCAATATAATTTGTTTAATGGCTCAAGACACACAATTGAAGACTGAGGTTGCCAGAGTGAAAAGAATAAAAATAATGAAACAGCAAAGCTCAGACAGTTTCCTGTTAATAGAAACTTTTTTCCTAAATTATCACAGATATGAGAATGCAGAAAATATGTCTGCCCAACCCATCTCCCAAAATCTGACTAAAACACAAGACATTTTAATTCCTTAATTAAATTAAGAATTTATCAGCATCCCTTTGGTAATATCTATGAGTGAATAGGTGAGCTATATCAGTACCATAGTTATGAAATAATGAAATTACCAAATTTCAATTTTTGGTAATAGATAACATTGATGTTTAATATGAAACAATTGTTTATAGAGTCTAGAAAATAAGTTGAATTATACTATGTCAGATTTCATTATGCAAATCAACATTTTTATAATAGAACTAGTAGTAATCAATCAATGTTTGTAAAATGCTTTTCAAGATTTATTTATATAATATCTCATATAAATTTCAGCTTATGTTTTTTAAAGAAATATTTATAATCGCTTATTTGATGGTGTTAGATTTTATTATGCAACTTTTTGTTGACCCTGTTGGAAATATATATAGTAGTATATTGACATGAGTTGTAAGAAAGATATAACCTCAAAAAAAGGAACAATATTGTAAAGTTATGGAGTGATGGGAATACAAGAGCAGAAATTGCAAGAAAGTTCAACAGAGATCAAACAACAATAAAAAAACAAGACAACAAGAACAAGAAAAAAAATACTGGCTTTAATATGACAAAAAAGATATTTGAGAAAAAATAAGGAATAAAAGTGAAATCCACTTTCTTGCTTATTACCAAGAAACCAGTTAACAAAGTTGGTGTTCCAAATATAAACAGAGAAAAGATACACAATATTAAGAACACTGGTTAGAAATAAAAGCAACCAAACTACCATCTTCAAGGAAACATTACAAAGAGAAATGTAGAAGTTGGGTGAAGTAATACATAAAAAAAAAAAACAAAAAAAATAATAAAAAAACTTTTTTAGGCTGTAAAATTATAGGTTCCTTCAAACCTGATGATGATTGTGTCAAGATAAATAAATGCAGAAAATTATTCTAAGGTTTTGGATGAGACATTTTTTGAGTGGTACAGGTCCACAGACAAGAAGCTTTAAGAGTGTATTCATGCAAAACATTGATTCTTCACTTTCCTGAAAACTAACTATTGTACATTTTCAAAATAAAAAAAAAAAAAAATAAATAAAAAAAGTTTCAAACTGACTGGAATGGGCTCTAGTCTCTTGAGAAATGAATCCAATAGAAAACAATATTTAAGTAAAGAATATATTTGGCAAGCAACAGATACTTTTTAAAATCAAAATAAAAAGAAGTTAAAAATGACTGAATGAAAGACTGAAGGTTATAGAATTTAAATTTGTTGCAACATAAAATAAAAATCTATTCAAGCATGTGGAATATTGTATCGATCAAATATGTTTCTTCTGCTTATATCTTTTGCTCGCTTATAAATTTAAAAAAAATATGCTGCACTTTCTTTGCATAATAAATCATGATACCTTAAAACAAGTTATCAATATTTCTAATAAGAATTTCTATTGTAAGTTGAAGTTCACATTTAAGCTTATATTCAGTTGGTTAATACCAATTTTTTTTTGAAACTTAATTTGCATAATAAAATCTGAAAGTATATTTTAAAATTAGTGAATAATTAAAAATAGGTTTAAAATTAAGGTAATTAAATATAACAAATATATTGATTAAAATTTGTTCCATTAAAATCATTACAAAATATAGTGTCAAGAATGTAGAAACATAATTATTCAACATGGACAGTATTACAATATTGTCAAAACCTCAACAAAATGAGACTTTATTAGTAGAAAATACAAATATTGATAATCATTATTGTACCTGTATATAATCTGACTATTCATTACTGATCACACTTTAATATATAGTAAATCAATGTTTTTAAAAAGTGAAGAATACATCAAATACCTCAAGATTTAAATCTGTTCTCCAAGTTATTTTCAATATTGCTTTCTCAGTCAACTTTTCCAACATAAATGACATTATTAGTGGAAACTTAACTAAGAATTCAAACAAAATATCAAATGGCTATGATGATTATAACAGGAGAGGAATAGTTTATCTTAAAATATATCATCATGTGTGTACTGTCTTTAATTTTCATAAAACTTAGTAACATAGTCAACATTTTAGCTGATCCCTCCTTCAAACCTCATCAGGTTTAATCCATGACAAAAGTTAAAGACGTCTTGTATTTATTATAGATCTCATCTGAGGAGAGATGATGAATAAGTTGGCCAAAGTATTCTGAAAATATAGAGGTTTAAATATCCAAGTAATGTTGTCATATGATACAAGGCATCTTTAAATCACCTTGATCCATTTTTATCATTAGCCTCATCATAAAACTATATACAACAGTATTTTAACTAATAGCTTTTGTTAATCAGCTTTACATACTCTGCCATTCAACATCCTTTTCAGATTTGGGACAAGGACTTAATGTTTCTTTTGAATCATGACCAACTAGGCAGAATATTTTCCCGCAGTAGGTTGCCATTTCTTTCTGCAGTAGACTGGTTGCCAACCAAAGTTATAGGACCCAGTATGTTCTGCTATTCAATCCATAGCTGAAGGGACAAGAGATGGATTCATACTTTTCATACAACTAAAATTATACAAAAGTTGTAACTTGAGTTTTTATGTCAAATTGGTTAGTTTGATTTTTTTTCTTTTTTAAACAAATACTCTGTATACTTAACGTATATAAAGAGAATTTAATATCACTATTTAGCTAGATCATGAAAATAGGTAAATAAAATCTAAATTACATGGAATGGTTATTTTCACCATTAATCAACATCCATTATTTCATACTGGTAATATGGGATTATTATAAGTAAAGAGTCATTTTTTTAAATTTTTTTATCATTTGGAAAAAAAATCTTAGCAACATGCTTTTTTATTATATCATAAAAAGACTATTTTTGAAATTAATTAAACATGGCTCTCTGGATTCTTATGTAATCAGTGTAGTAAACTTTTATTGCATCAATAGCTTTGCTTAAAATTCAAGAGGTTATCTCAAAAGAAAAAACTGTGCAGTAAACATTGGACCTCAACAAAGAACATTTTTAGTTTATGGTGAAATAAAAGACTAGACAAAGAAAAAAATACTTCACTTAAATTATTTGTTCAGAAACTAACAATTTTATTTTACATTTTCTATTAAGAAAACCTGTAAGAACTTTATAATACACATTTTTGATAAATGCTAACAATTGTGTATTTTTTTTATTCTTAATCATTGAAATTGGCTCTTCCAAATTAAAAGTACTCAACTTCCTTAAAAATAATTACTGGACTCAAAATAGATTATAACGCATACCTAAAATGCCAAATATTTTCAAATCTACTTTTTGCAAGTTTTTAATTATTTAAAAATTGATAATTGAGCAATAGTAAGAGCAACAAGATTTTATTTGTACACAGTTTTACTATGATATGGAATATTTGTTAATTCAGCAAAAAAAAAACTTTATAATGATCAAAAGATAACTACTTCCAATCAAATGTTATGAGAATTGAAATCAAATAGCTTTCCAAAAATGAGAGAAAAAAAACCAAAAAAACTTTCATATTTCTACAGTCGTACACACTAAAGAATGTACTAAATAGAAAAAAATATGAAGAAGGATTAAATTTTTTTAGGCATAATTAGTGAAGTAGAAAACTAAATATTTTTATCAATAAGATCATTTCTGAAGTTGTTGGAAAGTATTTAAAGTTTCTAATAAGTGCAAGAAGAAAACTTTCCTCAGCTTTTTAGCAATGAAAGAAATTTTGATTATTCTGAATCAGTGATTATTTCACATAATTGTGCAGGCATCAAAATAAAGCAAGTTATTTAATAGTAAATACATTAAAAAAAAAAAAAAAAAAAGAAAAGAAAAAAGTGAAATAACATTTTTCCTGAAATTATAAGTTTTCGAACTCTGTATATCCCCTAAAAACTTAAGTGTAGCTTTGCAAAATAAATAATTATACAGAGAACGACACAAACCATCACAGGCAATGCCAGGTTTTTTTTGTTTCTATTAACTACAGGTAGTTGTGATAAAATAGGAAAGGTTAAAAAAGAAATAAAAAATAACATAACCACAAAGACTGATTCAGCTAAAAGTACATTGTCTAAATATTCACATAGAAAGTGATTTTGTTTCTAAAAAAGATAAGAGGGAGGATGAGGTAGTCCTTAAATATCATTTGCTTAGTTTGTCTATTTCTTATAAGTGTGTGTAAATTTATCATACAGGAGAAGGGAATGAATGTGAACTCACATCATTGGAACATTCTCCATCCAATGGTGTCTTCCGGACAGCTGTCTCAGGAACGACCATATTGCAGTGTAAGAACCTGAAATATGGTTGTATAAATCCTCATTTCTGAGTAGATTTGGTTGTCCTTCAGGCTCTCAAACTTAAATATGACAATTACTAATAATCTGCATTTTTATTACTAATATAATCTATAAGATTCTAAAAAAAAAAAAAAAGAAAAAAAAAAGAAAGAAAAAAAACTTTTTTTTTTTAAACTATATAATTACCAATAACAAAGGAATGAGAGTCCAAACAACCAAAGAAGCAAGTTTCTTTTTATAGCATAAATGAAAAAAATAAAGAAAATATAATAAAAAACCTGAGTAATCTACTTGTCTTATGTCCAAAGCAGCCATCGAATGTTGAGAGTAAAGTTAAAACAAAAAAAAACAAAAAAAACAAAAACAAACAAACAAAAAAAAATAAAAATAAAAAAAAGGAACAGAATTAAAAAGATATTTGTATAATATGAGGAAATGAACTAATTGGTATTAAAAGGAAGTTTAATTGAAATACAAGACAAAAAGAATAAATTCAGTAGGCAAGAAGGGAAGTAATATGAATATTGTACATTTTTTTTTAAAGTTATCAATTTAAAATGTCTTTTTTTGAATAGTGAAAAAAAAAAACAAACAAATTGTGTCCCTGTTGAATGCAGTAAAGATTCTGACTAAAATCAAAAGAAATCTTTGATGATATGAAAATTTGTAATTCAATTGTGTGTGTGTGGCCTGATACCGGTATTTAAATTGAGTAAATTCTTACTGTGCAAATTATCTCACTTTAATATTTGTAGATGATTCTTGAAAACAGAAGTTTCAAATTAAATTTTAGTGTCAATTTCAATCATAATGTATTGTGGAGAGATAGGGATAGGTTTTGTTTTTTTTAATTGATTTTGATTACTCACAGCTGAGAAGATCAAACATTTATCATGTAAATAGTCTGTATTGAAAAGACGGGGGGGGGATATTTTCCAACAATGATAGTGATCAATTTCAAAGCTACGTTAAAAACTAGGTTTCAAGACAAACAGGCCCTCTTCATTGGAAAGATCTCTTTAAATAAGAACATACCTTATAATTTCCTAATGGAACTTCAAGTTAATGTTTAACCTATCACTCATAAGAACAAATATTTATTTGTACTTGTTTAAATATTCACTATTTACAATAAACATTATCATTCAACCATCTACTATTTTTGAGTTTTCTTAAAACAAATGGAATACTGAATAGATATAAAAAGAAAAAAAAGGAAAGAAATGCTTGCAAGATAATTGTATTAAAAAGTAGCATAGTATTAACATTTTATAAATCTATCTATTTTTTTTTTTTTTTACAATGTGATAAAGCCAAGGATAATAATTTAATGCAATATTTTTTTTATGATTATTTTTGTTGTTACTATCACAATAATTTAGGCAATATGGTCTTTGGCCTTTCTTGGATCTATCTTGCAACAAAGACTCCTTAAATTTTGCCCAGTATGTTTATCTCATTATTTTTATCATGCACAGGTGATTGGATTTGTGTGGGAAGGAAAGCTGTATTGGGGTAACACTTAAAGATCTCATTTAAAAAAAAACAAAAAAAACTGAAAAGACCAAAACAGTGATAAAAATAACAAAGATGAGGATAAGTCTGATTGATTCATGGAATGGTGGTAATACTTTATCTCAACATTTCAAACAAGCTTCTGACTAGCAAGTTAAAAAGAATAATTTAATTACTCCTATAATAGAGACACTATTCAGGGAGGGGGAGATAGAAAGGGAGGGGGAGAGAGAGAAATAATTATGTTATGTAATATTTGTTTAAGAGAATCTAGGGAATGTAAAAACTTTAATATCTTGTTAGTGTTAAAAGCAGAATTGGACACACTATTTCAGTTCTCATTAATAAAAGAACATAATTGAACAAAGATTTGTCATGAAAATAATTTTAACTTTAAGCTCCAGAGAGAGAGAGATATATTGAAGATATTGGTAATTATTTTTCAACTGAATTTTCACACATGAAAACTGATAGCAGTCAGCCATACTTCAGTATATTCTTCATCTTTATACCTATAAAAATTATAATGAAGTGAATTGTTAATTTGTGTAACCTCACTAAGAAAATAAAATGATTGTCATATAAACTGTAGAAAAAAGGTGTCTAATTTTTTATTACTATAAAAAAGACAAATTCAAACTTTCTTTCAGTTTGCAGTAATTTTTTTTATGCTCGTGCTTTTTATATTTACTAAAATTTTCTATTTTTTTTTTCGTTATTATAAATTATTTTAGATTTAAATAAACTTTGAATGTTTTCCCTACAATATAGTTTTTGATGAATCAAGTCAACTTGGGTAAACATTTCAGAAACTTTAACATAGATCAGCTTCAATTTTTCAGCTTTTGAGAAAGAGTTCTTAAGTACAACACATTATCTCTATAATTTTCTTCCTTTTTTTAAACATTAAATTTAGATCTAATTAAAACTTTCTCTAAATTTATTTGACAAGTAATAAATTTGAATGACCAATGCTAAATGCTTCCCCAGCTCACAAATATCTAAGATAAACTCATTTCTTATTTTCTTCAAGTACTAAAAATTATTCATAAAAGAAAAATAAAATCAAAGCAATAATACACTGCTGGCAAAGTTGTTACCATTATTATTATCACTACTATTACTATCATAATCATCACTACTACTATCATCATCATTGCTATTACCACTACCATCATCATTACTACTACTACTACTGACTGCCTGTTTTGTTCCTGTAGGTATTCCAAGAACAGCTGTGTTCTAATTTAGCAATACAACTTTCAACAGATTTGAAAAAGTGATATAGGTTATATTCTTTAATAAAAACTTAAACCCAGCAAACTATTGTTTTATTAACCTCCCAAAATAAGAACAAAAACTTGGAAGAAATTGGATGTTACAAGATTGTTAACATGCTTTAGGTATTGATAATTAACTGGAGATGTGCATTAACTTCAGTAATTGAAGTTAATGCATAATTACACATGCTGCACTTCAGTTTAGATAACATGTAATATTCAACACCTTTTTCTTTCTGTAAATATTTTTGAGGACAACATAATAGTTTACAAAAAAAAAAAAAAGGTAAATGGAAAAGAAGACTAAACTGAACGATTTTTAAACATGCATCAATGAAGTTTATTTAATATAAAATGGGGAATTATTTTAAGAATGAATTAAAAAGTTAGATAGCAACCAACATAATGAGTTGTATAAGTGAAAATGTTACCTTTTGGTTCAAGTTAATATTCTTTATTAAATTTTGATTTTTCCTACTTATATTTTAAACATTTGGGAAATTAAAGACAAAATGAGAAAAAGACAGACAAAAATTCAAGAAACAAAAGATTTGTTTTGTTTTTAAATACAAAACATGACAGGAAATGTGAAGTACTTACCTTCAGGTCATTAATTGTTGAACGGTACTGCTGAATTAAATTATCAATCTGATCTTTGTGATTTCGCCAGGCATCAATCTTTTCATATAAAACAGGATCACATACAATTGTGTTATTTGGTAAAACTCTACACATCTTTTGTTGTGGGACAATATCTGAAATAAAACAAGAAATAAATTTTTCATTTTTTTCCCCCATAAATTTTTTAAAATATATTCCTGTAATGAAGTCATAAGAATTTCAGCAGTCATCCAAAGATTAGAAACTTAAAAACCCTTTTTCAGAATCCAAGGTTACCAAAGAGCAATACAGAAATATTTAGAATATTTCTGTTGTATATAAATCAATACATAAAATAATTAATTGAGTTTTTTTCTTATAGCTTTTCCAATATGAAAATGATATTGCTTGAGCTAATGTAAATATTAGGGGCTTTTGTAGATACTGACTAAAATTTATATGCAATTTATATTTGTAAGGTTGTTTTTTTTTGGGGGGGGGTGTTGCTTGCTTCTGACTGTAAAAGGAAAGAAAATTTTAATAACCAAATATGTTTAGGGGAGCAGGAATACTATACCAATTTAACATTGAAAGCCCAACTGATGTAAAGGAAGACAAGGTAGGTATAATTATTGTAACTAGCAAATACCAAACTTAGATTCACCATTATATGAGAAAATATTGTTCAATGCCACCACACTTCACCTTTGTAATAGGTCAGTGTAAATTATTATATATAACTTCAAACATTACTTTTAGTGGATACCGGTATTTGAAATAGACAATCTGTTTTTATTTTAAATAGTGTGTATTACATCTGTACACTAGCACTTGAGAAATCTTAATAAAGAAAAAGTGCTCTTCAATAGGGTTTGAACTTTTGTCTACCATTGTAGGAGAAATCACCGTTTAATCTGAAGTGCTTTACACTGCTTGGCCACAGGGAGCATCACAGCCCAGCAAGGCTCTATTTCCCTTTTAAGGAATATTCACTTCCAAAAGGTCATATCTGCTTAGTTTCATATTCAAAACATAAACAAAGCAATTTCTAAAGAATTAATGAATTTATTTTTAATCTAACATATTTAGTACTTCAAATGTTATTTTTAGTGGATACCCATATTTGAATTTTTAGTGCCCAGGTCATAGATGTAATACACTGTTTAAAATAAAAAATAGGTCGTCTATTTCAAATACAGATATTCACTAACAGTATCATTTGAAGTTATAAAAATGTCTGATTAAACCATTAAGTCTTTAGAAATGTATATCTCTAAAGAATTAATGGATATATATATATATATATATATATTATATATATTACACACACACACTGCTGCCTGAGATCTAAAACTATCCAAATCTAATCAGATAGCAATTCTGAAGAAAACCTCCAGTTCTGGAGTGTGTTAACCAATATTAACAATTATCTGATTCAACCAATTAAGCCATATAACTTCAATTGCCTAACTTAAATGTACGACCTATGACAGAATGCCACAAGCTGATCATGACAAGTTTATGAAACCACAAATATACATTAGGACCTGAAAATGAAAAAAGGACTCAAACACAATGCAGAATAGGAGCAGCATAGCGTATCCGGTAAATTGCTCGAAATCAATTGCTTGACAGTAAATTGCTCAAAAAATAATTTCTCGAACTATCAATTGCTAGAAAGGCAGTTTGCTGAAAACCTGTGGTTTAAAAAATAAAAATAAAACTACATTGTTTCTAATATTTACTAGAAGATAAAATAATACAACTTTATTGTTAACTGAACAGTTAAAATTAAAGAATGAGTACATTTATATAGCAGGTCTTAGTTTTTTTTCTTGAAAGGCAGTTTGCTCGAAACCTGTGGTTAAAAAAAAAAACAAAAAAAAACGTGCTAAGCATTTCCTTTTTTTGCACATTTCACATTTCCAATAAATCTTATTGTTCACTGTTTTGCACTTAATATATGGATATCCATCCAAACACAACTTTGTTTTCCGCTCTCAACAAAAGTTATGTCCATCACTAGGGTTCAAGATCTCTAAAATTACTGAAATAGAAAACAAATATATAAAAAACAAAAAATCAGGACTGCTAAAGTTGAGTGTTGTGAGACAGCACAGTTTACATGGTGTTTTGAGCTTTGAAATTACTTTGAGCAAGTTCGAGAAATTATTTGTCGAGCAATTTACCTAGAACTGCAGCATACAGATAGGAATTGAAAGAATTTTAGTACAACTGAACAAATTCTCCTTTACCAAATTATACAATAAAAACCTAATTTTTTTTTCATCTTTAGCAAAGAAATAATTCTATTGGCTAGTAGATAAGTGTATACACTGCACTAATAATATACATTGTGAAGATGTGCACAATAACCTTTTGATTTCAGTAAAATTTAGAAATATAAGCTCAGGTAGCTAAAAGGGGAGCATACATGATGAAAAAATGCCCCAAATTTAATAAAAAGTTTTGTCAAAAACTTTGTTATTATTAAGGATTTTTTGATTATTAAATTATATATTTTTAATCTGTTTTAGAACTGTCAAAATTTTGGTTAAATTTTTTTTGTCAGCAGGTGACCATAAATTAGGATAGGAAATTTTAGCATCTTTTTGCAGTGAAAAACACATTGATTTGGAAATTCTTGTGAAAATTTAATAACTATCTGATTATGAATTTTTTTAATGAAACTTTCAGGACTTATTCACAAATGAATGAAATTATTTTTGAAACTTTTTTTTTAAAAAAGAAAATCTTTGTGTGTGTGTGTGTGTGTGTGTGTGTGTGTGTGTGTGTGTGTGTGTATATATATATATCTGTTACCCCTACCCACACACACACTTATTTAATTTTATGTAACTTTGAGAAATTCATTTTTGTATGATTTAATGTTTATATTAGTTATAAGCTGAATTCTTTGGAGAATTTAAGTCATTTTTTTTTTTTTTTTGTAAAACAGAATCCCCAGTTAAGAAAAATCTGCTTTGAAAAATGCAATAAAACTAAGACATTTAATTAGAAAAGCTTTTAATTAGTTTTATAAAAAAGATATATTATGGACACTGCTGTTTTAAAAAAATTCTTTTTTTGGTGAATAATGAATTTTTTCCACAAAGAACTGTTCCCATTTTAAAGTGATATTGTTATTAAGTAAAAACTATTATTTACTAATCATAAATGGAAAAGTTTACAATTCAGCCCCCACCCCCCAGTATTTTAAAAAGGATTTTAATTTTTTTTTTGTATGTGTATAAATGTGCTGATTTTTGTAAAAACAAGTGTCCATACATAAGTGGTATGAGATATCAGAGTGGTAACTCTAGCAAATTTAAAGCCAAAGTAAACTTAGAATATTTTCCTAAATTTTTAAGATTATTGTGTAGTGAAAAATTGTACAAAAACGGTGCTCCAGTTATATTTAAGTCATTTTTTTTACAGATATGGCTCCTGTAGAAAAACTGACTTAAATTTCCCAAACATCAGGCTATCAATACCTCATAAAAACACTGACCTCAGTGATAAAAAATACTTTTCTGTGATATTTTAAACTAAAAGTAATGTTCATTCCAAATCAGATTAATTAATCAATCAATTAAATCAGCCAATCCTCCTCAAATAAAATTTCAGAAAAGTATATTTTATTTTTGAAAGATTTTTTAATAAAGAGAATTACGTTGATGAGAGAATTGTAAATATGGCTCAAATTCGCCATTTTGAACAATTAAAAAGAAACAATGAAAAACTCATTCCAAATGATTTAAATGTTTGCTTATTATAAATATTCAATCTAATCTATTAACTTGAAGTTAAAACTAAAAAACTTCAACAAAGACTTCATTTTTAAAAATTCATTTTAAACCTTAGGTATTGCTTCCCTTTGGAAGTATCTAATTATAAATTTTTCAAACTTTCTCAAAGTATCATGAGTGTGAATAAAAAACAAAAAACAAAAAAAACAAAACAAAAAACACAACTTTGAGGAATAAAACATAAAAGTAAAATTCTTGATACAATTAATATAGCAAAAGAAGAAAAAAAGCAAAAGGTGTTAATTTTTGAGTAGTATTTCTTTAATTCATTCTGGTATTTTTTGTTACTATTCTCAATTTTTTTTTCATATTTTATTTTATTTTTTTAAAATATTATGTATTATGGATTATAAATGCATTTGAACTCTCAATGCTTCATTCTTGGGAGACTCATGACAGTGCCTAACTGATTAGGCTAAGAAAGCTCAACCAAAGAGCATAATTAAAATTAGCCATTATGCTTCCCTTATCATTATTTGTTTATTTCTACTTGCATTAGTAAGCAAAGTTGAAATGTCACCAGAAACTTATTCTTTATTTCTGATCCAGGCTGCTAACTTAAAAAATCTGTAGAATAAATGTAGGAGAGGAGAGTTATAATAAAGCAAAAGACAAAATATTAGTGAAAAATTAATAATGACAATGCTTTTCTAAGTTCATATGGTCAATTTTCCTGTGAGAAACAAGAAATTTAATTAAAGATTTGACTGTTAAAGATTCACTGCTTGCAATCAGCATGCTAAAACTTCAAGTTTATGTATATATATAAAAAAAAATCTATATGTCCAATTACAAAGAAAACTAAAATAGGTTTTGATCATAGTGCAAGGTGATTTGTAATTATATAAAAAAAACCCTTTATTCTCAAGAGGATGATATGATCTCAGCAGTAATTTCTCATCTTTCAACACAAGCTGGATTACCTAAGATGTTTAATATTCTACTTTAAACGCAAGATTAAAACAGGAAAAAAGCAACAGCCTTTTCTTTTTTGCCATTTAGATGATTTCAGAAGGCACTAACTTATAGTTAAAACATTTTAAAACTTGCTGTTAAAGGACTCCGTTTGATATGTCTGACCTGCCAAAAGGTAAAGGTTTTGGGGAGCATGAAAAACAAGCACACCAACGCTTACCAAATTGAGGGTCCATCGGAGGCAATAAATAACCAACATCAGATGCAAGCCGAGATGAGTAGTATGGAGTTACTTGTCGCAATGATCTCTTCTGTCTTGATCTTAGAAATCGTGGCTTGAAATTTTCTGAAAAGTCATCAGAAATAAGTGTTCTGATAGGTGTTCAAGAGCCACTCTAAAATATACTATATGCAGGCAGAAAAAAAAGGTACTTGACACATGAGTAATTAAAGCTATCATTCCTCAAAGTAATGAAAATGTTATTGTTCTTCTGTAATGATCCAGTTTTATTTTTGTAGGAAAAAAAAATGTGGAAATGAGCTGTTCAGTCTTATTAATTGAACAAAGATTAAAATTTCATAAAATATTTTGTATTTATATGTCATTAAAATTTAATTTTAGAGAAGATAAAAATGTAGTAATTTCAAAAATTGAATGAAAATGCTCAAGTAATAAATATAAATAGTTTAATATTGAGGAAAACATTTGAGCAATTATTTTGTTTTTGTAGTTAGAATGGCTACAATAACATGGAATCTAGATATGATCAGTCAGAATGTGCAAATCAAACTTTCTGTGAAAAAATATAAATTTCATGAATACTTCATAAGTTTTCAATGGTGAAATTCAAAAGAATATTTCTTGTACGGATTAAAAAAAAAAAAAATTAAGGGGAGGTAACTAAGCATCAATAAGAAAAAATGAATGTATAATTCCAAGAATGATTGAGACCATAATAGTAAAAAGATAACCTCAAACTGTAATAAAAATATTCAAATGTTATTACAATGGATAAGAACAATTTAGAAGATAAAATATCGAGCTTATTTTTTAATTCTATATTTTTAATAATAATAAAAAACAGACAAAATATGTAAGTATAGTTCATAACACTTTTTAGCATATGTTCAGACAATGACAAAATATAAAACTTATATTCTTAAAAAAAACCCCAAAAAACTTCCAATATTTATTTTAAAAATTTAAGACATTCAATGAACTTTTCAGAATAAAAAAATTAAACATGCTACAGCATGAACATTGGATGACACAAATAGCTTATAATATTAACTGATTTTTATAGCAAGAATTTCAGGAAAATTATTCAGCTTTAATCAAATTCTATAATTTAATTAATAAAACAAAATTCTTTTCAATAAAAATTGAGTTATTAAATAGAATAAATAAAACATTACTAATCAAGATTAACAAACAAATAGAAGGTCTCATTTTACAATTGAAATGGCTAGATGTAACTGCTATATAGCAACTTCTCACTTTTGGAACTCTCTTCTGGCTTCTCAGTCAACTTTGATCTTCAAAAACTAAAATGCAATTTCAATTGTTATCTTCTGCCTTAAATCTTGTTCTTTTATTGCACCCCCGCCTTCTTAATAGTGTTTTTGTCATATTCTTTCAAATCAATGGCAGCCTAATGGCTTTATTGTCTTGCTTGGAGTGAAATGATTTAAAGAAAAAAAAAAAAGTTCAAATATTATGCATGAACAGAACAGCTCAATTCCTAATTTTGGTCAGATATATAATTATTTGGAGATATTAAACCCATGCAAAAGTGGATACTGAATGAGTAAGAAACTAGTCATTTCCAGATAGAAAAATCAACATTGCGAAACGCATAAGTGTTGAGAAGTTGTCAGCCTGGTTATAATGAATGATATAGGGTCATGAAATCTACATGATATTCCCCAGGTTCATCTCAAAGTTAACATATTTGGCAAATCATCATTTCTTAACTTTCTTTAACCCTAACAAAAAAAAAAAAAAAAAAGCTACTTAGCCATTAAAGTACTGATTTTGCAAAGTGGGCTGTGTTATGAACTTTTCAGTGCCCCCTTGTATATGTTTTATGTATTTGGAACACATGCTATATATATATATATATATATATATATATATATATATACACACACATGTGTGAACGTCTATGTAATTGTATGATTAAAATTGTGAGATAAAGCTTTATCAATATTTATTAATTATATAATGGCAGTCCAACATAAATGAAGATTTATTGAAAAAAAACTAAAAATATTTCCAGTTTATAGACATATAAAATGTACAGAATTTTTAAATCCTGTTAGCAAGGCAACTGTAAAATCTGAAGACCATTTTGTAGTTATTTGAGTAACAAAATAAGATATACTTTTGTTAATAGTTTTATTAATTCTTAGAACTGCAAAATAAAAAAAAAATTTTTTTCTAAAAGTAAAATATTGAACATTTGATACTTTAAAGTGAATTGGTTTGTTTTGCACAGAGCTTCACAGTATTTTGAGAACAAGGCTTTTAAAAACTGGCAAATAAATGGTTTAAAGGCAAGTACACCCTAATTACCACAGTCAAAGGGGACAGGAAAGAAAAGGCTGTAAAAAGATGCTTTTAAAATGGTTAATTTAACAATACATTTTTCCAATTGAGAAGTCTTCCTTTCCATGAAGTGACAGGGCATTTATTTCATCAGTTCCATTCCACATTTTATTGGCTTAGGGCATTATTCTCACTGATGACAAAAGTCTTTACAAGAGAACAAGCCGATTTAACTAAGTTTACACTTTGGTTACTGTAAATGCAGTTGATTTATGTAAAACAAAATTTAGAATGTACCTCTACTGATATAAGACTTGATAATATTGCGTTGGTTTTGACGTTCTTGCTTGCTTGGACTCCTTGATCTGTTAGGTGGGCAGATGCATGGACGATCATTTTGCATCATGGATGAAAATTGGGTCTGTCGTCCTGAACGACATCTGTAAATTTCGGGTTGGCCATTTTCAAATCGACACTCCCAATCCTTAAAAAACAAAAACAACATTAAGTCACCTTTTCTTGATCCAAAATTTAAATATAATGTATATAAATGAATTGGTTGAATGTATAAAGATATACACATTAAAATAACAATTTACAGAAATTTTAATATAAAAATTTTTTTGTTGAGATGATTATGCAATTTGGTAATTTTTTTTTTTTTGATAGCTGTCAATGAGAATATTGAATGGTCAAAACGGCAATTTGTATGATAATTGCCTATTATTTACGTGAAGATTTTCTATAAGGCACAAATTCTTGCCAGCTTCCATTTTCATGAGTGTCACTTATCTTATTATGAATATCCAAACTTTCTGTACACAAGTCTGATTGCAGTTGAGATTGGTGTCATTGTAAAGACCATGAACTTTTCATTAGCTTCATAGGATGTCAGAGGTACATATGGTTTTGAATTCATAGTTGTCCTCCTAGACTGGTTGCTGAAGAGCCCAGTATACCATACTATTTAACCCAGAGCTGGGGAGATTCATAACCTCTCCAAGGGTATTTGCATGAAAGTGAATATAATGAAACTTGACTAGAATGCAAATTTGACTACCATTTTTCATTCCAAGCAACTATCCATTAGACCACTTGCATTTCTCTATATAAAAAAAAGAAAGAAAAAGCATCTATTAGAAGCAAATTGGATCTTTTTAAGCTGCTTATGACAAAAGCATTCCTACCTTCCACTACATCAACAGCATTTTGTTAATTGCTGCCACTTCTAAGTTTATTCAATTGCACTGTTTCTGTTACTCATCCTTTTTCTTCAACTTCAAGACTACTTACTGATTAGGGTACTGGAAGTAGGCCCCATGAATTTCTGGGTATCAAATAGAAATTCGACAAAACATCTGTTCATTACAATGTAATCTTCAGAGCTATTGGAAAGTGCTGAGGAGAGAGCATTTATTCTGTCTACAGTTTCTGCATTAACCTAGTACAAAACAGTTGTATTGTAATAAAGGACTTTGTACTTACCTGATTAGGTTTACAAGGTGCCTTAAATTCTGGCCGTGCACAAACATCAACAAGATCTGCTCCAGCGAACATTTGTAACTGAGCAGTAGGACTTCGAATGCCATTCTTTTGAAGCTCTGTTTTACGAAAGCGGGCCATCAATTTCTCTTTACGTATCATCTGTTTACGTACTTTTTTTGATATCTTTCTAGAAAGCAATACATATTTAGAGAATATACTTAGAAGTAAAATGGAAAGCTAAAGAAAAATTACATAAAGAAGAAATAATCATATGGACATTAATTTCAGTTACATTTAAATCATATTCCGTTACATATTATCATTATAAAATATTTATAGTAAAAAGTTCAATGAAACTGATATTTTTATCAACATCATACACACAAAAGCTTAAAAGCAATTTTATTTTTGTCGCAAGGAAATAACTTGAAAAGCGTAACACATAAACAGTAGATCCCAAATTGGATTTATGACCGTCAGCAAGAATGAGAGCAACAATGCATAAACTAAAAGTATTTGATTTCAGCAATGGTAAATAATAGAAATATTTACCTATATTATGTAATAAAGGATACAAAACAATTTAAAACAGCTGATTAGCAGTGAATTTAAGTAACTTATTATACAACAGTTCTGAACAACACTAAAAAGAAAAACATTTTCTAAATAATGACATTAACATTTTTATAATTGACATTGTATCTGAAAACATTCTGCATAATTCAATATTTACAAAGGATATTTTGAAAAATAAAATGGTTACTTATAACAGGTAAATTAAAGAGGTTTTTATTATAAAAAGATTAAATTTGTTTTCCAATTAAATCTGAGCAATATGGGAATATGCATAACATTCACAAATGGACAAGGAAAATGGGGGAACTTTTCTATTTTATTTATAGTGATTTCTAAAAATAAATAACTAATTTTGGTATTAAAAGAATCATTGAAAGGAAATAAAATATTTGCCTTATTTTCATATTAAATGTTATTTAAGTAACATGATAATTTAAAAAAAAGTTACAGGCATTTTTGGGAGAGATATTTGCACAATATTACTACAAATGTTAAACTAAACATAAGTTTTAACATTGACAAATTCAATTCAGTGCATATAACAAAAAAAATATTGCTGCAAATTTCAACCAATAATTAATATATTGTAATAATGTCTTGCATTGAGTTTTACATCCTTATAACTGAAATTGCCAACTTACCCTCTTTCCAAAAGTATAGTATCTCTCCAAGGTTTCTTCCTTTTGATAAAACCTTTACTTACACTGAAAAAAGAAAACTTTTTCTTCTATTATAGAATGTATTTTTAAAGGTTTTAGCAAAACAGTTATACCTTAATTAAATGAAAAAAACTGATACAGAGATTAGACTTAAAGAGACCAATCAGTGATTTTATAAGCCAATATAAATCATTAATGTTAGTTTAAATACCAAAATGAATATTAATTTATTTGAATATATTTAAGCAGAAACTTAAATCTTACACAATGAGTCCTTTAACCTACTGAATATGTGTCTGAAAACATGTAAGAGTGTGTGAATTCACAAGGACATTTCTGGGAGGAAAGGGAAAGAAAAATAAAGAATACTAGTACTGAAACATCTACAATCTTCATGATACTTGCATATCCAAGATTGTGTTGAAAATTTCTTGGCATTTTAAAAATATGACTATTAGATTTTTTTTTTCCTGAAAGGATTTCTTTGTCATGTTGAAAACTGTTTAACACCATGCAAATATTCTTTTGTATTCAGCCTTCATTAATTTTTTTTTTTTAACTGTTTCACTCCCAAGCAAAACAATAAAGCCACAAAGTTGCAAGGGGTTACAGAATGTAAGAGAATATGAGAAAAAACAAAATAAACAAAAAACATTATTAAAGAGAGAAAACAATAAAAGAAGAGGAATTAAGAAAACGGAAGATAACAATTGGCATTGCATTTGAATCTTTGAAGATCAAAGTTGACCAGAAAGCAAGAAGCTGGAAGACTTCATTAGACAAATGAGAAGTGTGAGAGAGGAAACTGTTAGCATAGAATTTACGGTTACATCTAGCCATTCCAACTGTAAAATGATGATACCTTGTTGCCATCTAGTACTGCATTCAAATGCATAAAGTCTATGTACCAAAGAGGAAGGTTCATCAGAACAATTACCATGTAAATATTTATAGAAAAGGCAGGGGAAACTGTTATAGCAGTGAGAAAGTGACTGAAACCAAGATACCATTAACATTTGTTTAAAAAAGAATTTTTGTTAAAATTGTTAATTATTTCTTTCATAAAAAAGAGTAAAAAAGAATATATTGAAAAGGTTTAAAACAAAAAAATTAATTTAAAAATTAGTGTTATTCAAACTTAAGATTGTAAACCTTTATTTTACAAGATTTTGGTTTTACCAAATGATTTGTCCAGATAAAAGTCAGTGATGATTTTTTTTGTATTTAAGAAGAAAAAAACAACACTAAACAAAACCATCAGTAGTAGATAGATACTGTGAGATAAGCAAAAAATATCATTAGACTTCAATCTATCCACTGTGTCAAACAAATTTGATACTTTTCGTCTAAACCTTATGTCTGTCTATATTTCTGAAATGAGGTATTGTAATTATTTACACTATTTACATTGTTCAAACTGTTATCCTCATCTTCAATGCCATATTCACAATGTTTTGGCTGTTGTATGCTCTGGCCTTCCTCAGGTGATTGGAATTTTGAACTGGACCCTTTATTTTGTCCATGAGGGTAGATTGTTCTAGTTCCACGTGCCATACCTCTTCCAGATATCTCAGTTATCTCCCTTTAACTCAACTCTCCAAGTTTTTGTTCACCACTGCTGTAGCCAGGTAACTGACAACTCTTTGAGTCAAGTCATTGGATCCAACCAATGTTTTTATGGTCCAGTGGATAAAAGCATTGGTTGGATCAAGTGGAAAAAAGTTTATTTTCATTCTTCAGGACTTCATTGGACTAATTTTGTTATGTTGGTAGGACTAAATATGTGCATGGCAGAGGGGTGCTTGGAATTTCAGAAATTTTTTTCAGCTGAATTCATTTAGAGTCTTTTTGTACCCCACCCATCACTTTTGTAAGTAGGTATTCCACACTGTGATATTAGAAGATCGACCAGGAATGGTGAAATGTTGTAAGAGCAAAGGCACAAATTTACTGGAGATGACCTTGTGATTAAGGCACTTTCTAAACATTTATGTCATAGTGAATTATTTTCTCCTTTGATCATGGTAGCATTTTTTATGTCAAAGTTGTGATCAGTCTCGTCACAGTGGGCAACCAATGCATTTGATGTATTATTTTGTAAAATGTCCCTTTTGTGTTCATATAATCTTTTATTTAGATTCCTTAAGGTTTCTCCTATGTATTTGTTATAACAAATATTACAGGCAATGGAGTAAACTCCTTCAGGTTTTAGTTAATTGTTTTGTTTAATATTGACTAAGTATTTTATTGTTTTGGATATAGTAGTAAGATTTTTTTACAAGAACATGGAGTTAAAAGGTCTTGGGGAAAACAAAATGCTGGCCTGCATTTAAAGGTGATGCTGCACTCAAAAGATTACATGGGCTATTCTTATGTATTGGTCTTTTTTTTGCTTGATAATATTAAAATCTGGGCTTTGAGTGGACTTGTTCATCAGTTAGATTGTGTTACATATGATTCATGGTGTCAGGCGCCATAATAATTGTCACCTTAATTCAAATCTAGTATCAGACAAAAGTATTTGACACTAAGTTACTGCCTCACTTTCTTGAAACATTATTTTATTTGGGAGTTATTTTTGTTTTCCTGAATGTTTCCAATTTTTCATTTAATGCAGTTTCTTCATTTCATCATTCTTATACTATGACGTTACATGCAATCATGTAAGGCTTTTCAAATCTTTCATTTCTTAGCTCTACTCCACAGAGTATATTTCTCCAGAATATATCGAGTGATATTTATTGATACCTGATTGGATTCATGTCTATTATTTACCTTAGAGCCTTCTATGGATAAAAGCTGTTATCTCAAACAATTTTCTTTTTGGCCTATGTTGCAACTTTTAAAGGTGATTACATTTTGCTGTCGCATACCTTGAAACGTTGAGAAGATTAATTGGACATCATGTTACGAAAATTCTTAATTCTTTAGAACTTTTCACTAGTTTAGCTTCTCTACCATCAATACAATCTGATTTGTTTATTTCACCCCATTAATTCAAAGAATGAAAGAAAGCATTTGTATTTAAAAAATTTGAGCAACTTAAGCATATTATCAATAGACATTGTTTGTCAGGAAATTAAAAGTGTAAAGTGAAAATTTTGGAATGTTATTCTTGAGGATACTTTTGACAGAATGTAGACTGCAATGAAGTATGAAATTGACATGCAGAGAAAAAAAAATGATATAGGTGAAGGGCATGATTCCAAATAGTTGATAATATTAAAAACACTATGATCTAAATTTTTAATTTTCTTTATCTTTAATAGAAAAGCTTGGACAGTATTGTTTCAATCTTAAACCAAATTTTGCCAATATATTCAAGTCATATGGTGGATGTTTATAATAGTTTAACATTATTTTTTAGAATTGTAATCATGCGTCATACTTACTTCTTAGTGGCTTTAAGTAAAGGCAGAAAAGAACGACCATCCATATCTGGAGGAGCTACAATTCCAGCCATGTCCAACAATGTCGGGGCAATGTCTACATTACCAACCAGATTATAGATGCTAAAAGATATGAAAAAAAATAAATTAAAAACAAAATTATCACAGAATCATTGAATAGAAAAGAGGATCTCAAAATTAAAATGTTAAACATATATACATGTTATAAGAGTGATTAATTTTTATAGCTGCATATTGTAGTGTCATAATTTATAAGCTTATTTAATTTTATATTTATTATCATGACATGTAAAAGGCTTGACAAAGATTTTGAAATAACTCTTTATAAATTTATGAAATATTAACTGTAAAAAAAAAAAAACAACTTACACACTGCCAGGTCTAACTCCAGGACCAGTGACTATTAGAGGTACACGTACATCAAAATCATATGGCATAGCTTTGCCTTTCACCAATCCAAACTGACCAAGATGATAGCCATGGTCAGATGTGTACACTATATATGTATTTTGTAACTCTCCTAATATTTTTAGCTCTGTATACACCTGAAATACAAGCAAAACAAATGTTCATCAACATAAATATACTAAATTACTATGAGAATGTGACAAAAAATGTTCAGCATGAACAAGAGATTAAAAGAAAAATTATAATACTTGTTTTTTTTTTATACTAATTGTTGAGCCAATCAAGGTAGAGAGTTACTGATTGAGGTTGATGCACATAAGAAGAGGAGGAAAAAGCTGTTAGAAATGAACTTCCTTCTTATTAATAGAATTCAAAGGGAATGGAGAAGATTTATTCCAGTGTATGGGTATGATGGGTTTAGCTGTGAAAGTCAGGGCTGGTGGAACTAAGGAATGTAGTGTGTCAGAACATTTGTCATGGAAATAGTGATAGAGTAGTGAGAGGCTTGCAACTTTTTGTCTGTGGGATAGGCATTGTAGAGTGGAAAGTCACTCACAAGGCCACAAATATGTTTTTGAACTCTATCAAGACTGGAAAGTCGAGTTGGCTAGATGTAACCATAAGATCTATGCTAACAGTTTCTTTTCTTGCTTGTGGAACTTTTTCTGCTTCATTCTTTCCAGTCAACCATAATCTTCAAAAATTTAAATGCAGTGTCAATTGTTATATACTGTCTTCTTGCTTACTTTTCCATTGTTCTAGCTCTTTAATAATATTTCTGTTTTCTACTTCTTCCACAGCCAATAACATCTTGTGCCTTAATGGTTTTACTGAACTCGATTTAAAAAAAGAAAAAAAAAGAAAAAAAGAAAAGAAGTGAGGATTAGGCAGCTCCAGCCCAGATACTCCATTTTTGGTCTGATCTCGCTTCTGGAAAGGGCAAGCATAGCAGGCAAAGTCAGGTACTTGATGGAGAGGTACAAGGGACTAATCATTTTTCCAGCACCTTTATTGATAGTTTCTATATACAAGTTCCACTTGAGTTCATATGGCCATACTTTACGAAGTGGGTCAGTCCAAAACTTTTTTTTGCATTCCTTGGATATTAAGGTATGCACCAATAATGCTGGATATGGAGGTGGAGAAAAGAGAGACAGAGATCAACTAATATGTGCATTAAGCCATTGCAAATAAATTTCAGAAAAGGAAAAAAAAGTACTATATTTGACAGTGTACAAGACAGCCTACCATTTAAATTTAATATTATAGTATTGTAAAGAAGGGTTACATACACCTGAGTAAACATTAGCCTACCAGATACTGAACTTTGCATTAAAAAAAAAAAAAAGAAAAGAGAGAGAGAGAAGTAGAAGTAGTAGCAATAGGAGGTTTCTCCAAAGAGTTCATTATATGAAAAATGAGTATTTAATTCTGGGAAATTTAATTGCTTTAAATATTAAAAATATTTATAAATATGTGAATAGAAAAACAATAATAGGTCTTGATTAAAAGTAAAAGAAAATAACATTAACAATAATTTTGAAAATGTAAATGTAAAATTACAAAATACTGAAAACAAATAAGACACAATGACATGAATGTAGAAAAGTTTACATACAAGAGTTGCCCTGAAAGTAATGCGTTTGCCATTTTCTCTGAATCTATCACTTGAAATGTTAAAGTTTTTACCCCAATAGACAGTTCTTACTGTATAACTGGCAGATTCTATATTTTCAATATGGATATGAAGCAGAAACAAAGAGCAGTCATTAAGTTTTTGACCAAAGAAAAATAAAATATAATGCTGTCAACATGTATAAAAGGCGCAGAAATGTGTATTGTCGGGTGACAATTGATATTAATATGCAAATGTGGCTGAAAAGCTTAAAGAAACTAAAAACAATGTTTCAGTTTCACTTAGTGGAAGGCAAATTACTAGACACAAAGAGTCCCAAAGAATTTTTCCTAAGTGGATTTGATAAGTGTGTTGAAAGGTGGTACACTACAAGTGGAGGCCATTTTAAATAATAGTATATTGTAGACTAAATAACATGTCACACAGGTATGTAGTTAGTTGCATATGTTTCATGTTATTAATAAAGAAGTTATGACCTGAGAGGCATTACATTCAGGACAACCCTTATAGCTGATCAAAAATAAATTAAAATAGAACAGAAACTGGATTGAAATGTCACAAAAGTTTGACTTTAGCTGATTAACTCTTATATTACCTTTTCAACTAAATCATCTACTGATTGTAAAGTCTGTAAACGTTTAGTATGTAATGTGTCTGTGAATATTTGATGAATTGGTTCCATTTTCTTCATGTTTTCTAGTAGCCATTGTTTGTCCTTACTGGGAGCATAGTTCCAACTTGGTGTTCTATCAAAAATAAAAAAACATATTTCAACCACTGGTTTCTACTTAGAAGTTTTCATGTATTTTAAAATCATTTAAAATATAAATATTCTCAAAATGCAAAAGTCATCTAAATTACAACACGATTATTTTTTCTTTTTAATATTCCAGTTTTTAAGTAATGTGTACCAAAGTGGAATAAACTATTTGGATGAAAATACCAACTAAAAAATTAAGTCATCTTATTTAAAAGATTTTCTCTGCACATACCAGATTTTAAAATTGTTTGGCCATTGATTTTGTGAATTGTTGTATTTCTTGATATGAAACAGATTGCACAGCATTTAGAATAGCATTCCAAAGATCATCTTTACTGGTAAATTGGCATCCATCAATGTAAATCTTTCTCTTTTGAATACTTTGGAATTTTCAATCAGTTTAAAGTTAGGAAAACAAAGTAAAACTTTTTAACAAGTATCTGTGAAATCCATTTTATTCAGATATTAATTAGTATTTTTGCTGAATATGAATGAGTATTATTGTACATAAAAATAATCTTGGCTTCTTGAGCCATGGAGACAGTTCAAGAAACCAAGAACTGTATGTTTGTGGGGGGTTCCTAATTAGCATTCTTTTGACAATTCTTTTAAAGGATTTTTTTTGAAAGAGGCCAAGTGAATAGTTTTGCCACTTGATTGGGGATCATGTGCTTTGATATTCATCACTACTATGGCTTCCTAAAAATTCATAGTTTGATAAAGGCAGATTTTTATAACTTCTTGATAAAGGATAGATCAATGATATAAAGTCCTTAACTTACCCTTATCAGATCTGCATTAGAGTCATCTAGGATCTTCAATGAACTTCTTCAGTTCACTAGTATCAGCTGATCATTTTTGCAATTTCAAGTGTAGTTTTTACCTATTACAAACTCTGAACTTATTAAAATTCTCTGTAAACTTCAAAATCAGCCTTATGATCCATTTTAAAGCTTCAAATTTGCAACTTGGTATATTAATTTTAGGTTTTGAAATTCAAGACATTTCATAAAAATAATTGACTTTCTCACAAATATTATTCAAACTATAGATGCCAATAAGTATTTTATATACTGATATAAAACATGGAGTGATTAATAACAAACATTTAATTACTTAATTTTTTCCAGTCCTTTAGTTTATGGGAAATTTAAGGAAATTCAACTGTCAATATTAACTACAGAGTTGCTTCCCTTACATATTTGTATTCTTTACTGATCTCTGAACGGGCATTTTCTAAATGCACCTCACTACACAAAACCTGTTTTAACACGTGTATGGAAGTAGGGGAAATTCACATTGAAAAAAAAAATGGATAATATTAAAAAAAAGAAATCAAATGATCTACTTTGGAATTTTAGGGATTAACTTGGGTATATAGTAATAATCATTACAATATCAGTTGAATTTTGTGCACAAGCAAGTTCTCCCTATAATGCTTTAAGTTTTTATAATCTTTGATGAACTAATGCTGAAAATATGAGAAACTTTACTTGAGAGAGAATAAACTATAACTATAAATAACTAAATCTGGTAATCTCATGTTAGATAAATTTTTTAATCTCTTATTTCTCAGAATTTCCAGTAATAATCATATTTTGAAATCAAAGAATTTTGTAAATAGTTCATCAGTTGGTTTAAAGTGTTGATTCAAGCAAATACCTATGAGATGTAGAATTTCCAAATAAGTGCTGGTATTGAGGTGCTGCATCTTCTGGTCCATGGGGTGCAGGTACACTAAGAACCATTAACACAGGCCTGAAACAAATTATTACATCACTGAATGTAAAATACACAAAGCAAAGGCATCAATTTTAATTCCAGAAGTATTAAATCATTAAAAAACATGATTTTCATCAAGGAAGATGCTAGATATAAAAAAAAAAGAAATGTCTAAAGTTGACTATTACGTAATTTAGCCAAATTGCTTAAAGGTATTTTAATTATAATGAAAGAGGGGGAAAAAAAAGCTTAATACAGACTCAAAATAATAAAAGCCAAGCTCTGAGCTGATAAACTATAACAATATCAAAGACTCAATATAACTTCAATATCAGCATTATTTTATTATAAATAATAGATACTACAGATAAATTCTTCATTATATGGAATTGGTTTGAATCAAAAGAATTAGAATGAACAATGAAAATTTTCAAGTATCAGAATACTAACTTGCTTAACTATAAAAATTATATTTCTAGCAAAATTGTGAAATAATTACATAGCATTATGAACAGAATTAGTCAGATCAATTAAGATATTTAGGTTTGATGCAAAAAGTAATTACTAATGCTTTAATTTATTTTAGGTAAGCCATTTAAGACATGGAAGGAATAAACTTTTCATAAAATACCATTTTTTCAACTTTAACAGTATTTCTACTATTTTATACTATTAGTAGATAGAGTAAAAAAAAAGAAAAGAGGCAAGAAAAAATAAATCTCACTTATTTTGAAACAGTTCTTTGCTTTGTTTTAGAAATGTGACACTGTCATTAGCAACCAGATCTGTCAGATAATCTTTGTAATAATTATCTCCATGCTTCATCTTTTTTCCATTAAAATTAATAGTATAGTTATAGAACCGTGAATTGCGTATTAAACCCATCCATTCTCTCCATCCAGGAGGGATGTAGGAACCATTATATTCATTTAAATATTTCCCAAAATAACCTGTAAGAGAAAGAAAATAATTCCAGAAATCTGCAACAATTTGTTTTTTCATAAAGAATAAATCAAAGTTGTGTAGAAATAAAAAACATCTATCCAATATGTTATAAAATCTTTTATAGTCATTATATATATATATATATATATATATATATATATATATATATATATATAGTCATTTTGTTTAGAAACATGAAATCCTAATACTGCATTATCTAATTCTATATTTTTAATGCCCAGAAGTGCAATAAAATGTTAAGATATTAAAAACAAAAAAGATCATATTACTCTGACAAATTAATTCACAGGTTTATATCTTAATTATTCTGACAGATATTAACAAAATCTATTCAGGTCATCAAAAGAGTATACATTTTATCAAAATCAAATTATAAAAATGAATACCAAATAATAGTCCAATAACACACACACACAGAGCAAGTGATGCATTTTAATCAAACATTTTTATTACTATAAACATTATTTTAGTGGATACATATGCTTAAGTAGACATCCTTGTTTTCTCACCCCCATCCTGGACATTAATAATAGTCATTGTGGTCACTGAGTCCTCTACAGCAAAGTAACAATTAACAATGGACCTTAATTTCACTGTCTGAAATTAATGAGAATGTCTAATATGTGTATCCACTAAAATAACACATACACAGGATCACATATAATTAGTACTTGGAGTGGATTTTGAGATATTCCTTAATTTTGATCAGGTATTTTGTTTTAATTTTTGTATTAATCTAGTATTTTTTGAGAATAGTAAACCGTTATTTAAATGAAGTTTCAAATAATTTACTATAGTTTTCCATATTTAATAAATTTCTTATTGTGCATAAAGTTATTTTAATTTTGTCAGAAAGATAATTTATTGTTACTTCTTTATTTTGTGTAGAGATGGCAGATAGAGGGAAATGATCAACTGACTGAGTTATTTAAACTGGGTTCACTACATACTAATTGGATAGAAGATTACTTCATACATTTGTATGATAATATTATAACTCCTATACATTTAGCACATTCTATCAAACAAGAAGAAAAACAAAGATAAATTGTTATTAGATCTCCCCAAAGATAGCTGAAAATTTTAAGGAAAAGAAAAGTTTAAACACATTTGGCCATAATCATTTGCATTTCAACTTATTTCTATCAATAGCTTAATTGTGCTGAGATGTTTAACTCATGGCCAATTGATGTGTATCTCCATGGTAGACAATAATCAATTTCTCTAAGCATTTCAATCAGCAAAGCAGAACAGCTATAATAAACACTAGTGTTGAAAACAACTGTAAATTAATAATCTATCTTATATGCATTGAATCATTTAAAATTTACTTTGAATATAATTACACAATTTCTACAAGAAGCAACAAATTCTATGTCACATTTGCCATTTAAATGTGGACACAGGAAAAACAACCTACCCATAAAATTTTATCTAAATAAAATATCTGAATTGTTTTTACCTGTTCGATAACCCTCATCATTCAAGTAGGTAGCAAAACTTTTGGTCTCATAATTCCTCTGCCATTGTGTTGAGGAGCAGTTTTCATTGTTAGTGAACACATTGTGGTTGTGTGCATACATTCCAGTAAGCAGTGTGCTCCGAGAAGGGCAGCACATTGGAGTTGATACAAAGGAATTATTGAAGTACGCACCGTTGTTTGTTAAAAGCTTTTTAGTCTTGGGCATATAATCCAAAGAACCTGAAGGAGGTGAAAAAAAGAGAGAAAGTATTTTCAATTCTTTGATGGAAATATTTTAACAGATGTCTTAATGCAAATAGTGCTTTTCTTTACAAGATACAAACATTGCTAAAATATTGATATTACATTAATGAAAAATTATTTTACGAATGAGAAATATATTTGGTAAAGTAGTAAGTTCATTTTTTGGTGGGGGGTGTTCAGTATTAGTTTTATTGAAGAATATATTTTACCATTTTCTTCCAGGCAACTTTATAATTTTTTTTTTTTTTTAATTTTCTCAGTAAATAATTGCTCTAAGTGCCTTATGTAAACTTTGAGGGAAAAGATTTCCCCCCACCCATAAACAAAACTCTGTAAAAACTAAGATAAATAGTAATCTGAAGGTACACTATTTGGTGACTATGGTAGATGAGTGAAAGCCAAGCTGTAAAAATTTTTGTTTTTTGCTAAATACTGCCTTCATTTAGTCTGATAGGAGCAGTACTTATCCAAATCATTTCGTTCTTAAAAAGGAATTCATAGTGGAAAACCTTTTCCAGAGCATCATTTTTGGATGATGGCTGGCTTTTGATATGGTTAGTGGTGGTTTATTTTGCTTGTTCCATCTCTTTTGTTCTACATCATTTATTTTAAATTAGCTATTTTTCTTCCTTCCATCACTATTTGTATGGGAAAAAAAATAAATATGATTCAACCACTTTTTCATTTGAGTGGAGTTCACACATCAAAGTGACTAACATAACCAAACTGATGCAAAAGCTTTTCAATACTTGATTTTGGGTATGTTGACTAACTTCTATGTTGCATAATATTGATTATTTTTATATACTATCTTGATTTGATCCCTATCAACATCAACTGAGTTGTTCAACTATGTAGCATTGTTCAGTAAGAAATTTTCAGTACAAAATTTTGTAAACGCCTTTTGATAGGCTCGCTCATTGACAGTATTTTCACTGTGAACTGCACAAACCTTTTTGTTTGTGTTGTATTTTGTCCTTAAAATAAGGAAGCATAATGTGCTGAAATTTTTCCTAATTTTCTTTCAATGCTAGATGCTAATTTTGACTATATAAAGAAAAGTTTGCCTTTGATATACCAGCTGTCACAACCAAAGGGATCATTTTGAATGAAGTAAATGCTTCTTATGACATTTAACAACAAAAATATAATGAACTTTTAGCTAACCCAAAATTACTAGTGTTAAATTTCCAAACTCATAAAAAAGTTACAAGTATATTTCAGAATTCATAACTTGTATCTTTTGATACATGACTGACTAGGCAAATTTTTTCAAGCAGTGGGTTGCCATTTATTTTTGCGGTAGACTAGTTGCCATTCAAGGCTATAGAACCCAGTCTGTTCTGCTATTTATCCATAGCTGGAGGGAGAAGAAGAGGATTCATACCTTTCCCAAGGGTATTAGCACATAAGTGAATGTAATGGATTTGACTGGAATTCAAACTTGGCTCTCTGATTTCTCAATCCAAGCCGCTATCCATTACACCACCGTGCCTCCTCATCCCAATTATTACAGGCAAAATTGAAAATCTGTCTGAAGATTTTAAATTTATATTATTTTATTTAGAAAGCTTAAAAAAAAAAAAAACAAAAAAAAACATAAAACAAAACACTTTGTACATATTCACAGAATAGAGAGAGGAGAAATGTCAAAATGAAATTTATCAATTAAGTTTCAAATTATAAAAATGACCTCTTCAAAGTCTTGTTGCTAAAGTTTGTTCATTCAGCTAGAAAATCAATAAATGCTAAGATTCTTATATCAAATTGATACTCATATAACTGAAAAATAACTGACTGATAATTACAAGGGTCAGTCAAAAAGTAACATCTGTTCTAATTTTTCAAGTAATAGATTTTAGTTTTTGTATGTGCATGCACATGTCTAGAAACCTAAGGAAATGAATTTGTGGAGTTGTCTTTTCTTACACATAATAATCTTTCAAATTTATTGCCTCCTCTGGAAACTTGTAGAAAGCAAAGAGGCGCTTTTTGAAAGAGAAAATGCTGCAGACATTCAAAGGGGTTAGTGAATATTTAAAAGGAAGGTTGCATTTGATGCAGGTACATTAAGGAGATATCAGTAGATGTAATTGCAGTCCTAGAAAGGAGAAACTGATCTTAGTGATAGGCCTCAAAGTGGCAGATCAGCTGCTGTTGTGAATGGGGATAAGGCCAAAAAGGTTGATGCTCTTATAACTGACAGAAGAATCACTATTGTAATACTGAAAGCCTTCAAAATGAGTCATATCTTCAGTTTAGTACAGTCTCTTAGCTACTCAAATATATGTTCATAGTTTTTGTTTCCCAGAATGCTGACAGATGCTATGAAGAAGTAAAGTATTGTTGCTATTCAAGAGCTTCTGGAATTTTAAGCAGGTATCTTTAGAGAACAGCAGTTTTCAAATAGAGAGGTGAAAGAGGCAACTTGCACACAGCTAAGATAGCAGCCAAGAAACTTCTACAATGTGGGCATAAATGCTTTCATTCAAAGGCTATGCTACTACTATCAAAATTTTTGTATAGATGTCATACACAGCACCAAACCAGTTTACAAATTTTTAAACTGTCTGCTGTATACAACTGCTTTCTAAGATCAAGGGTTAAAAATGGCTTTGAGTGTGTGAAGCCGATGGGTTTTGGTGAAGATCCCACTTCTTCAAACCTTGTAGAATGGCGCTACAGAATCGCAAACAAAGAACTGCACTAAATAACAGGAACCACGTCACTTGAAGACTTGCAACAGTTAAAATGTATATCACATGTAATTCTAAGAGAAAATAATGACATAATCAAGATGTTGACATTCCACACTACTTCAAATAAAAGGTTAGTGAGGTAACCCCATTAATAGTGTAAAGAGTGATAACAGGTACTGGACTTGAGAAACCTATTTTTATGAAAAATTGTTTTAAGAGTAAGATTATATAATTTCAAATGATAGTAGTACTACAATTAATGCTGAATGTTTCCTTATAGAGAAACAAGTAATATTACCATTACTTTCTGATTAACCCCCTGTACGAATACACAAAAATTAGTTTAAAGAAAAAAAGAAAAGAGAGAGAGGGAGAGAGAGAGAGAAGAAAAAAAAAAGATTCCTAAAACTTGTTAGCACTTACAATTATTAAAACTAAATAATGCTTAAGACTTTTTAATGTCATGTCCCTTCAGAACATATCATGACACTCCACAGATTTTTTACTTATTATCTCTGAATTCCTAAGCATTCTTGGGATAGTGGAGTAGTTTCCTGTTGCCTTTTTCATGGTTTTGAATTCAGAGTTTTCCTTCTCTTAGGCCGATTGCTATCTAACTCTAGAAAACCCAGTCTATCCTATTCAACCAAAAGCTGAGAAAAGCTGTAAAGTGATTTCAATTTTGTTTATATTAAAACGTTTTATATTTGTGTGTGTTGCTGGATTAGAAAGCAGATATGGGAGCAAAGTATAATACTTATTAATTACAAACTGTTTCTTGTTATTACATCCCATGTATATTCATAGTAGGATGTAATAAAAAAATATGTTCAACATGTTTGTTAGGATGGATTAGCAGCCAGAAATAAGATGCATAATTACAATATAGAAGTATATCACCAGCCAAGATCTTTAAAACATTACCTACCAAAGTTTGTTTGAATGATTTCTAAAACCTTTTTACCTAATGTAACTGTATTAATAGAACTCTTTCCTAAATATTACTACTTACCAGGTACAATCTTCACTACATTAAATTAAAAAGGAATTTCTTGGAGTGAGGAAGCCAGTAGGAGCAGGAGGCCCAACAGCTAATACATGTTTGCAATAAAGATGAGGACTACAAATAATGATAATTCCTTATCCCAGAAATTTAGACAGAAAAAAAAATGTCCGATTAAAAGCACAGATTAATAAATTTATTTACCCAACAAGACATCCTGGTCATCTGTAAGAATCAAAATGATATTTGGTTTTTCACTTCGAGTCCTTAGTCTTTGGAGACGTTTATGTGACAATCTAGATCTTGCTTCATCACGTTCTCTCAAAGTCTGAAATCTTGTAGTTCGTGCTAATGTCTGATATTCGAAAAGTGACATCAAGCTGAACACGGTCACCCATAACAACTGATGCCATATCCACACCATTGCTACGATAAACCAGATGGGTATTTGAAGACTACTTCTAGAATGCAAAGAAACTTGGTTGTTGTCATTCCATCAATCTGTAGAAAAGAAAAAAAAATTCCCAAATGAAAAAACAAATTCTGTGCAATTAACTTTTCTAAAGCATTTAGTTATTAACATGAAAGTAGACAGTTTTTCTTTTTGTTAAAAAGCTGCAAAATCCTATGCCATATTTATAACTACTTATTATGTTCACACAATATCACAAGTTTTTCCAATTGCTACATAATTATAATTATTACAATGCTTTCATAAATTTGGCAATTTTTTTTTATAGAAAAACAAAACAAATGGTACTTAACATATACAAAATCCAACTAAAAGCAGAGCTTAAAACTCTAGAACAAAATATAATTAGGCATAGTAAATAACTAGAACATTCAGAAAATAAAAAAGAGCTTTGTTTTAGAGCATTCACTTAACAGTTGAAAATGTTGATTATATTATACAAATCTATTTTTGCAATAAAATTGGTATTAACCAGCTGATGTTAGTAAAATTTTAGGATATAATATAGTATCTCACACTCATGGTGCATTATGGGTAGCCAAAGTCTATTGTATTATCCTAATGGTTATTGAGTAAGCAGTAATGGTTGTTTCAAATTATTATAGAAGCTTTTGAGTAGAAATAACTGTGGATCAGAATGGTGTTATTTGCAGTATTAGATGAATGAATAAACATAAAGCTTCTTGGTTGTGATTTGTAAACTGTTGTCCAAGAACTTAAATTAATTCTCTGAATACATCTTGACATCCTCATCAACTTTGAAGGGACATAATTTTACTGACAAAAAAAACAAAAAAAACTCCTCTTTAAAATTACCCTCACCCAAACACTGTTGTCTTGTAGGTAAAGTATTTTCATAAAAGACTCAAACTTTTGCCAGCTGATCAGATTAGATCCATCCAATGTAGATCTACATTGATCATCAATTGAGAAATAGGTTTAAATGTACATCTCCACTTAACTTATACATTTCTCTTCATAATGTTTATTTGAAAATGGTAGCTTTTATTGGTTGCTTTTATGCCCTTTGCCAAAGTTTTTAATATTTTGTATCTTTTCTAGGCTTAAATTCAAAACACCAGATTCTTCAAATATTTCCTTGTTATCCAATTCCCTTTTCTTGCTTAAAACATTTGGAATTCTCAAGTCTTTGTGATATGCTTAAAACAAACTCTTGCTAATGTTTTCAATTTCTTTTGTTTGTTCTTTGATTTCTGTTCAACTTTTTCACTATTTCCAAGAGTGTATTCTCATCACTCAGCTTTACAGTATCATGTTACCCTTTTGAAGTTATATCTTTCTTACAATCCATCTTATATACATGAAATCAAGAAAGTAAATACCACTTCTATTTGCAATATGATCAACATTTGGGTTGCATAATAAAATCGTACACCACCAAATAAGTTTTTATACATATTTATAATAAAAACATTATATACTGAAATTCACTATATATCTTGAAAATCTTTTACCAATGCCAGTTTGTTAATATCAACTTTATTGAGTAAACATTGTTTAGCATAATAAAATCTGACAGTATCTACAAGGGGATGCTGAAAGGTCCTTGGGCTGACCCCACTTCCCCAAAATCATTATTTTATTGATCAAACATAAGCATACTGATTTTGGAAAGTCTATATATATATATATATATATATATATATATATATATATATATATAGCTACTAAGAAATGCAAATACCTACAGTTTAAAATAAATTTAAAAAAAAATTAAAAGTCATTCTTAAAGCTTTTAGCTTTAATTCAAGCTAATAGATTAAATTTATTATTTACAATAAGCAAAATGTTTTACTGTATTTAAAACTAATTTAAATTAGAAGTTTTTTTTTTTAAAAAAAAAAAAAAAAAAAAAAGCACCGATTTTAGCCATCTGTCAGCACAATGTAACTCTCTTTATTAAAAAAAAATCTTTCAAAAATAAAATTTTCTTTATTTGAGGAATATTAGCAGATTTAAAGTTTAATTCATACGATTTGAAACAAATATTACTTAATTTTAGTTTAAAATATCGCTGAAATGTATTTTTTAACATGGAGGTAGGTGTTCATTTAAGGTGTTGAAAGCTGTATTCAACCTGACAGTTTTATTGACAACCAGAAATTTAACTAATTTTTTTTCAATGAGGGTCATATCAGTAAAAATTACTTAACGAATATAATGAGTGCCTTTTTTTTTTTTATATCTAAGTAACCAGTAATCTTAATAATTTAGGATAATATTCTTCATAATCTAATGTTTTGATTTTTTTTTTTAGGTACTTTAAATTTACTATAGTTACTGCTCTTATTTTCTAATAATGCTGTGCATAGACAACCATATTTATAAAAATCGGCGCATTTACACACACAAAAAAAACTTTTTAAAATAGGGAGGGGGAGGAGGAGGTGCTGCTGCTGCATTGTAGTAAGCTTTTCCATTCATGATGTTTTAATATAGTTTTTACTTAATAACAATATCACTTGTCCCAAACAAATTAATACAGAATTTTAAGTTTTAAAACTTTATAAATTATTCTAATTAAAATTTAATGAAAGATTAAAACAATTCTTGTATAAATTACTTATTTAATGTAAAAACTTTTGTGACAATAGTATCCATAATATATCTTATCCATAAAATAATTAATAGCTTTTTTTCTAATTAAATATCTTAGTTTTATTGACTTTTTATTTAATGATTTAGAGCAGATTTGTGGTAATTAGGAGCCCTATTTTAAAAAAAAAAAAAAAAAAAAAAAAAAAAAAAAAAGATGATTTAAATTAAGTTCTGCTTTATAGCTAATCTAAACATTAAGCCATATAAAAATTAATTTATTGAAATTTCCTCAAATTAAATAGGGGGTATATATATATATATATATATATATATATATATATATATATATATATATAAAAGCATAAAAGTTTTTAACCAAGATTTTTTTAAAGAAACAGTTCTAAAATAATTTCATTCATTTCCAAAATCCTAAAATTTTTATTAAAATCCTAGTTATTTGACTTTTGTAAGTATTCCTAAATTAATGTATTTTTCCATTGCAAAAAGATGTTAAAAATTTCCTTATTTATGGTCCCCCACTGATGTAAGAAAAACAAAGTTTTGCACATTCTAAAAAGAATAAAAAAAATACAATTTAATAATAAAAATTCTTTGGTTTTTCCTCTTAATAATAGTAAAGATTTTGATGCTAAAACTGCTTTCTGCTTTATTAAGTTTAGGGCATTTTTTCATCATATGTTCAATTTTTAACAAATCTTTGGAGGTACCTATACTGCATATAACAGCAAAATTGTTCAAATTGTGTAACAGCATAATTGTCCATCCAAACAAAATGTTTAATATCTAAAAAAAAAAAAAAAAAAAGTTTCTTTTTTCCAGGTTTTCATATAAGACGTTTAGCCATCTTGACACCATTTGTCATAAGAATCACTGAAAAACCCTTCGAGTTATTCAGCTAGAAAGAGAACAAGTTAAAATCATTTTGTGTCAGCCCCACTATGTCTTCCCAATTGAGCAATGGTGAGAGGAAAAAGATCATTCAGGCCTTTAGTAATGGTACCAACATTCATACTCTGGCTTCCATCTTCAAAATCCATTCAAGAACCACTGAGAGAAAAAAAGAGAGAATAGTAGAAAGGAAAACTGGATCAAGAGGTCACAACAGCAAGAGGGATCATCATTTCAACTTAGAGCTGAAGAAATCAATTAGAAAAGATCCAACTCAATCCTTAATAAGATGTTTGGCACATGATAGAGGAGTTTCAGCTATGATAGTCCAAAGAGCATTGAAAAAAGACTTGAAAATGAAAACTGTGAAAACTGTGAGGCACCTTGTTACTCCAGGATAGAAAGTTAAAGGGTGAAGAACATCTTGAATAAGGTAAAAAATGATCCTGGAATAATCTTCTACACAAATGAGAAGAATTTTATGCAGGATGCGTACACAGACGAAATGGCCATATTCTGGCTTCAAATCCTCATGAGAGAGACAATGTCACTTTCAAGTACAAAAATCTTGCCAAGATAATGGTTTTTGTCTTCTTTGGAATTTTTGGATTCTTTCTGAATAACCTGAGGCTAGAGACAATCAAAACCCCAACAAGATCAATAAGGCCTTCAAATTTACATTCCAACAGGATGAAGCTCCTTGTCTTACGAGTGCAGTTGTTCAAAGATTTCTTAGGGATGAGTTCGTGAACAGGTTTTGGGATAAGGAAAATTGGCCTCCTTCAGTGCCTGATTTGAACCCCTTATTTTAACATCTGGAATGAAATGACCAGAAAAGCTTGTTAGAGGCTCCACAGTAAACTGCAAGCCTTCAAAAAAAATCTATCAATGGAGAACATTGATGAAAAATTCATTAAAAAAGTTTGTGGTGCATTCAGAAAGAGGGTTCAGTGCCAAAGGTGGAGCAACTCTTGATGCCTAACAATTTGGACTCGTGCCAAAATTGTTCTTATCAATTACAAATAAATACTGGTATTTAAGCTTCCATTTGAACTTAATCTCAATCCTTCATGAGCTTCTAATCTTTAGCTATGATTAATTAATGATATGTCATTTTTGTTTATGATTGATTTCATCACTATTCTGTTAAGCATGGAAAGTAATTATGCATTCTTATTGTTTAAAATAAAGTCCAATAGGGCTATAAAAACCTTGGAGAATTCCAGTAAGATATCTTTAATCATTTCTAAGATACAACAGTTCAAAACTTAATCTAACAATTGGACAATGTTGCCGTTACACAATTTGGACAATGTTGCCGTTACACAATTTGGACAATGTTGCCGTTACACAATTTGGACAATGTTGCCGTTACACAATTTGGACAATGTTGCCGTTACACAATTTGGACAATGTTGCCGTTACACAATTTGGACAATGTTGCCGTTATAACAATTTGGACAATGTTGCCGTTACACAATTTGGACAATGTTGTTGTTACACAATTTGGACAATGTTGCCGTTACACAATTTGGACAATGTTTGCCGTTACACAATTTGG